GTTTGTTCTGGAGTAACTATGCTATTAATTGCAAAGACCTCCATAAAACCACCCATGGCCTTGCCTTTACAGTAAATAACTAAACGTTCAGTCAGTGTTTTTGCATATACAAAACACTACTAGGTATTTGTTCAATTGCACAATATTCATTTGCTGTGTGATTACTGTTTAGTGTAAGAAAAAAATTTAAAATAAAAAAAAACAAACCACAAAAAAAAAACCTTTTCCTAGTTGTTGTACCGTGAAAAACAAAAATACTGGTTCTAGATTTGCTTAAAACATCAATCTACAGTTAGTGAGATACAATGGTACAGTATGTAATTACAACTAGAATAAGTTGTTCAAATGGCTGTTTTAATTACTTATAATCAAAACTTTTCATAACATGAGCAAAGTACATACACTCCATTTTAAGTTTTGCTTAACTGTTACCAGAGATTTGTTGATATGATATAAAAGTTTATTACTACTGAGTGTGTATAGGCAAGTGTCATGATAGCAAAGTTTATGTATTGATTACTGTGAGTTCAAGTGAGTGTTTTGGTAACTAATTCATGCAAATCCAGCTTTGGAACCTTGCAGTTACAAGGTTCATATTAGTAAAAAATGAAATAAGAATATTTTACCCTTACCCAATAAAAACCTTGTCCATTTTCAAGCATCTTTAGAATGAATTAGAATAGTCTAAATAATTTTCCAACTTTTCCTCTAGCCACCCTGCTCCTGACATAATATTGAGCCTTTGAAAAATACCTATAGGTATAAAGTCCTTCAACTAAAATGGTCCTTCATGAACTGTCATCATGAATTGGTCTGAAAGTTGTTTAACTCACATAGCTTCCTTGAATGGTAATTTCTGAATAGAAAGATTCTCACAAAAAGATTGTGTATTGCATTGAGATGTCTTGCAAAGTTGCAGTAAGATATGTAAGAGTGCTCTCTGTGAAGATAGTGAAGTTTGTGGGTTCTGGTTTTATGTAATTTGGTTAGGTTGTGCAGTATATCCATTGTTTCCGTGTTACTCTTATGAGCATGAAATTAGACTATTAAATTTGTATTTTCTTGGTACTTATTTTAACACCATAGTCATTGACTTTACAATTCAAAAATAAAAGTTTGGCAAGACTATTTTGTAAACCTGTTAATTTTATAATGTAAAAAATTTACTCTAACCTTGAATTGTTATTTGCACTTTCATAGTCTATACTTGATACATTCCCACTTTATATACAGGTAGGATACTACAACCATGTAGATGTTTGGCCAAATGAATGCTGTTAATAATATGTAAAATTCTTTGATTAAACATTTATTACTTAAACTAATTCCGTTCTGTCTCATTACATCTTAGACTTACTGTAGCAGCTCCTTGAGACTGCTGACAGACATTTTTAGGGTATGTTCAGTACTGTGACAGATCAGTTGGACACCATATAGTAAGCTGTATGTTTTAATTTGTAAATATAAGTACCATTAAGTATCTTTAAGCTTTGAAAAAAATCTAAAATAGAATTTGTCTTAATTGCTACAAGCCATATTGTGCACTTGTTCTTCGTAGAGTAATGCCTTGTCACTATGAGTAGTGGTGCCAAAGAGGGGGGGCTAATTTTGGGGAAAGATTCTGTTAATTAGCGTTACTTAAGTGCCACTTAAGTTACTTAAGTGCCACTTAATATCCACTCTCCATTGTTACCTGGAAATTCCAGAGTGCCTCTGTTACATTAATAGCTAATGAACTAAACAATTTTGTTCATTGTTACAGTAATGTCATCAGCTTCCTCCACCAAGCACGCCAAGATCATGCAGACTGGTTTGGCTTGGAAGGCACCTTAAAGACCACGTTGTTCCAATCCCCCTTCCATGCACAGGGACGCCTTTCGTTAGACCAAGCTGCTCAGAGCTCCATCCAACCCAGCCTTGAACACTTGCAGTGATGGAGCATTCCCAGCCTGTCTGGGCAACCTGTTCCAGTGCCTCAGCACCCTCACAGAAGGCATCTCGCTGTAATACTCAGGGAGGGTGGTGATGAGGGAAGCCAAAACATGGACACAATGATAGCCAGTTTCTTTACAAGCAATTGTCTGGCTCGAGAGACAGCTTTAACATGCCTTGAAAGAACCAAGTACTCATGCTCATTTTAAGTCATCTCTGCCATTGCTTTACCTACCAATGTCCCTCATTTTGTGAGGTCTTTGGTTTTGGGCCAAAAACCAAAGACCTCACAAAATCCAGGGTGAATTCCTGTCTCTACTATAAGTTCAAATGAGTAATTAAGACCCAAAAGCTATGTTTAACTTATGCAAGTAATAACTGTGCAACACATCTGAAGAATATCATCAGTTGTGGCTCTGGGAATTAAGGGAATACAAGCTGCTTTTCTCACAAGAGAGCTGTTAAGTACAGAACCATGTGGAAATGCAGAGTGCACCAGTCCATCAGATTTATACCAGATTCCATGCGTTTACAACACAAGTATTTCTGGAGAAGCAGTCCATGTGCATCCTCTGCAGCTGTCTGTGGAACAGTGACACACACATAATAAGAGTAAAGAATTTTTCAGCTGTGAGCCAGCTGAAGGGTAGCAGTAAGAACCTAGGAGGAAGCAATGCAATTAAATCCACTGCAGAACAATTCAACTACTGAAGCAGGAAATGAGCAGTGTGTGCCGATTTGCATCACTTTCAATAAAAACTACTCTCACTGAGAGCTCCTGAGGAGAAATGGTTCTGTACTGACAACCAGAGTGTCTAACACAGTCCCCCTCCACAGGTGGAGCCAACATTTTATTTCCTCCACTTCTTTGTGGAGTCTACATTGGAAGTTTCACAGAGCAGAGATGGGCTCTGATGACTCCCAAGGGCAGCCCTTTCTCCTACTGGGGTAAAAATAAAATAAACTGAAAATACACATTAATTGGAAGAAAACATTTACTCTACAACTTTAGCTGAGCTTACACAGCGCAAAATGCCTCAGCTGCATCAGGCACTTCCAGTCAGGCCTCAGACTGAGTCAACCCACTCCAGCTCCAAAGAGAAGCTAGTTCTGTTAAGGAGAATCAGGAAACTGAAGAGGATGCTCAAAATTTGGGACTGACATTTTAAGGCTTGAGATCCTCTGGAGAGAGGGTACTTTAAGTAAAGTCCTGAGCCCCACCTCTCCTACCCATAACTACCAGATATTGAGCAACTCTCAGAACATTTCAGCTATTGTCCAAGATAAAAGACATGCTGGGTGTAATTTCTGACAAAACATCATCACCACTGTTCTTTGTGTCACCTTCCAGGTAAGGTAGGGATGATGAGAGCGCACTGACAGCAATCCCTGCCTCTCTCTGGTCTTACACAAGGCCAACAGAATAATCATACCAAGAACACTGTAATCTCAAGGTGTGTTTTACTGTAGTCCCATTGAAATGACAGAACCACACTTGTCAAAAAATACTAAACTAAAACTTTTTGACAACATAAAAATGGTTGTCTAAACCATTTTTTAATTATCTTACACTACCACCTTATATTAGGTTTCTTAAAGCTTAAGCTTTATTCATTTGGGGTTTTTTATTCAAGTTATTATTTAAAAGAAAAATAATCACAGTGGATAACTTATCAATAATATACAGTAGCATATTTAATTAAAAGTATACACATATATGTAAACCACACACAGAAAAGAATCTGCACATGGTTTCAGAAAGACCAAGGGGTTAGAAGCCAGGAGTCAGGAAGATGTGGCAGAACTGGAATTGAAAAAAACAATTATTGCAATTTTTATTTGCTATCCATTAACAATAAATCTTACAAAAATTCACAAAATAAAAACCTTGACAAAGTATTAGGTACTTATCTGGACAGAAATGGACATTGTCATGCATTTCTAGCCCATTTCTCCACAGACTAGTGAAGCTATGCCAACGTGATGGCAGTGAGAGGGGCCCAGCAGTGGGGGACTGCTGAGGTGGGTGGCTAGGAACAAAAGCAGGCAGAAGCTGCAATAAAAAGTGGTGGGAATAGCTTAAGGGCTCTGAGAGATCACTGATCTGCAAAATACAACTATAGAAAGATGCATTAAAGAAAGAGGGAAAAAAATTGCACCTGATAAGTATAAACAGCTTGAAGAGAGATGAGGGTAAATCAGGATTTAAATCAAAATTGAGGAATAAATATGGCACCTGAAACAAGAAAGTCAAATTTGGTGTGAAAGAAGCATGCAAGAGGTTAAACATAGCTGTCCATGAGCCAGTAGCAACCCAGGCACACCCTGCATCCACTGCGTGCCGCATGAGGGGAGCATCTATTAATCAATCCCTGCAAATTCTGGCTCTTTGTGTCCACTGAGGACAAGACAAAAATCAATTTCATTTGCACCAAAGAAGCTTTAAATAAACCCCAAGGACAGAAACTGGATATGAGAACTAAGAGACTGCAAATGCTCATGCATGACTGGGCATTTCTTTCATAACATCCGACTAGAAAAACATCTACACGGGATGGCCCACGGCCATGTTAGTGCCAGTAGGTGAGGAAGCACTTGTTAGATCCATGGTTCCTACATTTGGCTCTCAAAGCTTCACAAAGGCATGTGTTCATTCCCTAGTCTTTTAAACTATTGATACATGACTGAGGCTTCATGCAAGAGGGGCAGAGAATCAGAGTGGTTTGTGTTTGAAGGGGAGCTTGAAGATCATCTAGTTCTAACCACCCATGCCATGGGCACGGTCACCTTCCATTAGACCAGGTTGTTCAGGGCCCCACCCAACACAACCTTGAACACTTCCAGGGATGGGGCATCCACAACTTCTCCGGGCAACAAGTTTCAGTATCTTACCACATTCACAGTAGAACATTTCTTCCTAAAATCTAATATAAATGCTCCGTCTTTCAATTTGTACCCGTCCTCCCCTGTCCTGTTCTGTCACTGCTGCTCCTGACAGAGAGTCCCTCCGGCTTCCCTGTAGGTCCCCTTCAGATACTGGAAGGTGCTGCGAGGTCTCCACAGGCCGGCACCGGGGCCGCTGTGGGCGCCGCGCTCCCGCCGCTCGCTGTCGGGCCCGCGGGCCCCGCGCCGGCCTCAGGATGCCGCTGGGGCTGAAGCCCACCTGCAGCGTGTGCCGCAGCACGTCCTCCTCCATGTGGAAGAAGGGCGGGCAGGGCGAGATCCTGTGCAACAACTGCACGGCCCGCTCGGCGCCGCCGCCCCCCGCCGCCTTCGCCACCACCTCGGCGGCCGCCGCCCAGCACAGCAACGGCGGCGGCAGCGGCGGCGGCGGGTCCCCTTCAGATACTGGAAGGTGCTGCGAGGTCTCCACACGACCTTCCCCAGGCTCACCAGCCCCAGCGGCACCATCGGGCCCCCGCCCGCCTCCGTCCCTCGCCGGCACCGACGGGACACCGCTCTCTGAGCCGCGGCTCCGGCCGAGGCGAGAGCAGCCCCTCAGAGGGCCGGGCTCCGTTTGTCCCCGGGGCCGGGGCACGGCCGCCGCCAGCAGAGGGCAGGCCCGGCCCCGCCGGCGGCGGGAAGCAGGTGAGGAGGCCGAGCGTGAGGGTGATGCAGCCGCCGGGGCCGGGCCGGGCTGGGCGGGGCTGGGGCCGGGGTGTTCGGGCCGTCCCCCTTGTATCCATCCCGCTGTTCCCCACAGAGCAAGCAGGAGATCCACCGCCGCTCCGCGCGGCTCAGGAACACCAAGTACAAGTCTGCGCCCGCCGCGGAGAAGAAGGTTTCCACGAAGGGCAAGGGCAGGAGGCACATCTTCAAGCTAAAAAACGTAAGGCGGAGCGCCGGGGCCGCGGCTGGGGCGGACACGGAGCCCGCGGGAGGAGTGGGAAGAGAAACCGGTCATGGGAGTTCAGCACTCACTTCTCCACATGAAATCCACGCGATGAAACGTTAGCTCTGCTGCTTTGAGCTTTAAAGTAATAATGTTTGCTGGTTTTCTTAGAAGATAATGTATCTGTATGTTGTCTAAAAGGAGAAACAGTTTCTGGAACTTTACGGTTGATTTGTTTTAATGCTCTTGATTTTCTATTTCTGTATTATTTTCTTAGCCCATCAAGGCTCCTGAGTCCGTATCAACTATAATCACAGCAGAATCAATCTTTTATAAGGTATGGTTTATGCAAATCTGTTGGCAAAAAATATTATCCTGTTTCTGTTTCCAATGCCAAGAATTATCGTGGACAGTGAAAGCACTAGAGATACAGTCACAGAAACTGTTTTTCCTTGCCTAACAGTTGTGTAGGACTTTGGTTTACCATAGTTATTGCCGTTAAGTCTTGCAAGGTAGTTTACCTAAGTAGTTTAAATAGTTACCATTGTCCCAGGCTTTTTTTTTTTTAATTATTGCTGTCAGCATTTTTGAACTTAACTTGCACTGTGCAGAGGTCATGAGATTTGTGTGATGTTTCCTACCTTAGGCGCAGAACATGCTTCCCATAGAGGGGGTGGGTTGCAGTGCCCCAACGTCTCAGCTGGCTCCCATTTGAGAGCTGGTGCAAGCAGTCCCAAACACCCTGGGAACAAGATCTGTTGGCACTTGCAGTGAAGCAAGAGGGAACCTTCTCACATTCATGCTTTAGAGCAGCTTTACCAGCCTGTTGGTAAACACCAAGCCTGCTGGCAACACCAAGGTGTTGGTGTTCTAAAGTTCTGAAATTTGCTTTTGTTTCCCAGCAGCACGAGCAAACAGAATGTTTTTTTTCCCCTTTTCCTCCCCAAAAAAAGTCAGAATAGGCAGTGGGAGACTGCACAGCCAGTGGTGGCCTGAGATTCCATACTCTCCAGGGACCTTCATGCCTGGCATTCCAGATTAATCTCTTGTTTGCTGTTGACAGTTCAGAAAATAATTAGTGTCTTGTGTGTCTGTTTTTATCAGAAATTCCTAAGAACTATGTCGAAGCTTCTATCCTCCTTATGTAGAATGTTGCTACTTTGCTACTTTGCAGTGTTGTTGTGAATAGGCTTGTTTGGGGTTGTTTGTGTACTTTTTTATGTTTCAGAAACAAACACCTTTCTTTCATATGCCACCATTCTTTTGCATCTGGCTGAATTCTAGCTACTTTTCAAGACTGGCATAAATTAGGATAATTTAGGGTACTGGTACTTAATATATGAATCAGGATGTGAAGTGAAGATGACAAAAATCAGGTTGTTTGATTTCAGTGTCATTTGTATGTCTTCTAGGGTGTATACTACCAAATTGGAGATGTTGTTTCGGTGGTTGATGAGCAGGATGGAAGAACATACTACGCTCAGATCCGTGGGTTTATTCAGGACCAATACTGTGAAAAGAGTGCTGCACTAACGTGGCTCATTCCTACCCAAGCCAGCCCCAAAGACTGCTTTGACCCAGCATCCTATATCATAGGTAATCTCTAAGCCTTCACTTCATGCAACTACTTGGATGTGCCTATGCTAATGCAGAGCTGTATTCTTTAAATGAACATTTTAGCTTCTCCAGGTATTTTATGCACATTCTGCATTTTAGACTCTAATCTTGTAAACATCTAATTTACTGTAATAACACTTTTTATTTATCTTGTGTATATAATGTGATTACCACTATTGCAGTGTGTGATTATCTTGTACTGTGATTATCGGAGTGTTTGTGGGTACAATTACAGTTGTGCAGCTTTAAAGATCAAATTATTGGTAGGTTTAAATCATAGTAACTTTGATTCTGATACACCAGTCCAAGTTGTTTCTTTTAAAGTGACCTGAATTACTTGATCTTTATCCTGGGTATTCAAAATACATAGCATGCAAGCTCTGGCATAGAGACTGTTCTGCTACTGATGACAAAACTAGTAATTCAGAAAAGTCCTTCTAACAGGCAGGATACAAATAGAATGTATTTTAAATATATTAACTACAGTACTTCACTCAAATACCAGAATGCTTCAAATGGGATGGGGGGGAAGTTCAGCCCAGCAAAATTAAAGATAGAGGTTTCTTGCCTAATGCAGGAGGCTACCTTCCTAGGAAAGTCATGGATTGCAAAGGCAAATTCTGTAAGGGAATGTTGGCTGCTGTGGCATATTTTTATTCAACATATTTAATTTTATGCCTTTAAGTTTCGTCTTTGATTTTTTTTTTTCTAGGACCAGAAGAAGATCTCCCAAGAAAAATGGAATATTTAGAATTTGTTTGTCATGCACCTTCCGAATATTTTAAATCTCGATCATCTCCCTTCCCTACTGTTCCTACAAGGCCAGAGAAGGGCTATATATGGACTCATGTGGGACCTACTCCTGCAATCTCCATTAAAGAAACTGTAGCCAATAATTTATAATTTTTAAGGAATACTTTGGACTAGTTATTTTGTGTGTATCCTACGGTTTGTAAACCCCTTACAAGAAGTTTTAAAAATTATAAAATGTGCTGGTTTATTTTACAGATTATGATATTTATTTTTTTTAGATATATCAGACCTTGGACGTGAAAGTTTTCATTCCAGTTGATGCATCATTTTGGTGCTCTGCTCTTCAGACATTATTGCTCATCTTGGGACAAAACCACAAGTTTCATGTCATCTTTGACTTCTGAAAGATGCCTTTAGTATTCATTCTTACTTTTTAAGTTATTTTACAGAAGAGGAGTTTAAAAGATGTAATCATCCAGCATTTTATATGGCTGTTTAATTTAGTTAACTGTGACTGCTGATTTTATTTCCTTATTAAATAATTTAAGACTAGCTTCACCTAACTACTAAAATGGTCAATGATGCAGTTAACAGTTTTCTGTTACATGGAGAGGAGTGTTCTACCTGGATTTCTCCAGACTAAAACTTCATCCGCAAAGAGGGACTCTAACAGTCACCTTTTATGGGAATTTTGTTAATCTGAATCTGAAATGTGGGCTATGTATGTAGCTTTCTGTAAACTTACTTATATAAGGGCATACATTTCCTGGAGAATTGGATGCAAATTCAAAAATTAATATTATTTGCCATCCTGGCATTCTCATTGCAGAAGTATATCTGCATTTCCTGAGCAAGCCAACACTGACATATGATTTGAGTTTCACACTGTTAATATTTGTTTGCCTGTTAGCTTGGACTCATAAAATTTATTTTAAATTGTTTTTTCGGTCTTCACCATTAATGATGATAAGAAAAAAAATGGTCAGGCAAATAAAATTAAAAAAAAATCAATAAGGGAAATAAAAATTATTTTATGTATTGACAGTCTCAGCATAATGAGGAATATGTATAAATAGCAGAACAGGAGAAATGCCACATACTAAAATACCAGTGAAGTTTTCTGTCCTAAACTTTTTACAAGCCAGTCAGCTCCAAACACAGTGAGATGTGCTTGTATGGCCTGAATTCCAAGGGCTTAGTGGTTCCTGCTGCCTGCGAAGGATGTGAGCTGTAAGTGGCCTTAAATTTAAATGTACTGATCTTTTCCGTTTTTTTTCCTTTGTATGAACATTAATGACCAGCACCCAGAAGGCCCAAATCACCTTTAAGATACTGTGTGAAAGACGAAAATGTTGCACTAGGCTTATATTCTAACTTTATGAAAGGCTTTGATCTAAGATGTAACAGATTTGAAAGTCTCAGGTATTGACATCTTTTAATGCAGTGCGACCTGTGAGGACAGGAACCAGACAGACTTGTTTTGGCCTGCAGCCTCTGTTCTGCCCTCTTCAAATACAAGGAAGAACAATCAGCCTTAAGGGAGTAGATGCTAAAGTTAAGGGATACTGTCAATAATTCAAAATGCTCAGAAATTAGCAGTAGATTGGTAATACAATGTTAAATCTTAATCTTCAGTCACTTACAAAGATGAGATGTGTGCCTATGTTCAGTGTGTTGCAGAGATTAATCCCAAGTGCAGTGATTAATCTTGCTTCTCTCCATTCTCTCCTTTCAATTCCTCTGGGTTTCTTTCTTCTTATTTCTTTATTAACAATTACAAGAAAATAAAAATAACAAATCCTATATTTACAGTAACCAGAGTGACTTCCTTAAATCAAATGTTTTCCTTCCTTTCTCTGCAGTCCGCAAGGTTTTCAGTTGGGATCACTGTAAAGTCCCTGTGCTGCCTCAGCATAATCCATGGACCTGTCCTCTTCTGTGGCTGTCTTACCTTATCTGAATTATCAGGGTTGGAAAAGGCCTTGATGGTCATTGAGCCCAATGAAGTTTAGCTGTGTTCCTTGTCAAATCCTTATAGGAATAAAGAGGGAAACAATGCTTTACATTGTTTTGGTTTTTTGAGTTCCTACAAGGTACACCAAACGAAATGTACTTTTTGCCATTTGCCTTATTTGTCAATAAATTGTAATATAGAAGGGACAATTCATTTTACATCAGAATACACCTTTCTAAAATTCAGTGCTGCTGGCGATTGAAGTATTATACTTCCACCTGCAGTCTAAACAGACAATTTTTTGTTTTTCAGAGAGCTATGGAACAAGTTCCTTTGGTAAACACTAAGTATTTTTATTTTAGTTCATTTTTTATTATACTGGGAAATGTTAAAAAATAATTCAGATGAACAAGAATTCTGAGTGTAAAGTCTCAAAAGAGAGTGGATCTGCAGGCAATGACTGTTGCTAAAGTGTTATTTGAATGGTTGCACTGTCCTGTTTTTCTTGTGTTCAGAACATCACCCCGTAACACACGGGAAATGATTGATTCTCCAGAAAGCTTCTTATGGATGGACATAGCTGAAGAGTGGGACCTCCAAGAGCAACGTCTCTGAAAATTTTTCATCTCTCTCCTATTAAGAAAATGGAGGACAAAACAAAATGAAGACCTCCAAAATGGACTCAACAGCAGAAGGGATATCAGAGGATCTTGTGGGGGCAGGCTTTGATGCCCTGCAGCTGAGGGAACTGAGCTCAACCATTTCTGTCTTCTAGTTTGGTAATTCCCCATGCAAAAATGTAGGTAGGTTTCATATTTGTGTCACTGGACTGTGGGTGGATACACTGCTACTGAATTTATGGCCTTGTGTTGAGTTCCAGAGTTGTGACCAGCCAACAGTAATTTTCATCGAGGCATTTTAGTTCTAAAGATGGAACTTTTAGCCAAGAGCTAAAAGCCACAGAGCATATATAAAATACTCATTACCACGTGGACATGAGGCACACATTGCAGGAAATCTGTGGGAGGAGTAACTTAACTTTCACATGAACTTTACTGTACCAAAACAATACTTACTGGAGAAGGGTTTCCATTTGGGCAATGGCTTTGCTGGGAGCAGAATACTTTCTGTGAAAATGTGATGCAAACACAATGGATAAATAAGTGTGTGGCTCCTTGAGCTCCTAAAATGAAGCTGGGGTTCCTCTCTTGCTGCTGTGCTGTGCTACGTGACAATCACCTCAGCCATCCTGGCAGAGGCTGGATTAGGCCCGTACAGCTTGGTATCCAAGCCAATCCAATAGCTTTGCTTTCATGTAATGCAGCCTTCAACTTTAACATTAATATTATACAAGAAGAAAAGCGTACATTTATTGTGGTTGGTGATATATGATGTGTTATGATTAATAAAGGCTCTAAATAGTCTTACAGAACAAAACAAAAATATTAATAGGTGTAGTATTGAAGTTTCAACTGCTCTTTAAATTACTGAATTAGAAAGACAAATTATAATTTTATTATATTTTCACAGAGATAGAATTGGTACATCTGTTAGATAGGAGACTAGATCCCTCCAAAATTATGGAAGATGAGCATTATGTGCCCAAGTAGAAACACTTTTACAAAAGTTAATAGTTATTAATAATTCTTTTTTTGTGCTCCCTACTACACAATCTCGTGATCACTGACAACAGAATTTATTTGGCAATTGTTTCTCTTTCACCCACACAGTCACGCTTACCTTCAGTTAGACTACATTACTTTTTTTTCACTCAGCCCTTCTAGTTGGTGATTTGTTATTCTTGAATTTAGCCTACAGCTTCAGTGAGATTATTTTTCTTTTCTGGTTTGGTAGCTTCAATCACAAGAACAACTTCATGGACAACATCTCCAGGTGGTTCATGATCTTTATGAAATGCTTCAAGTGCTTCGATTTCTGTTCAATCAAACAGAAGTATTACTGGAATCTAGTTTTGATAGAAGGTTGTTTTAACCTGAACATATCAGGATTATCCTGTGCAGAGAATTTAGACTCAGAACAGTTAACCAAGGCACCTGCTTACGTATGGCAGTTGTTATCAGGATTATCCTGTGCAGAGCATTTAGACAGAACAGTTAACCAAGGCACCTGCTTACGTATGGCAGTTGGGCTCCATCAACATCTTCTGAACTTCTTCATTTAGGGAGAACAGAGCAGGAGTAGTCCTTTTTTCTCATGAAGCTGTCTAGGGGCAAAGTTGCTTTCAGTAGTTCCACCTGTCTTCCTACACTCCATCAGTGTCCGTGGGCACTTCTTTGCTGAAGACCACCACACCTCTCTGCCTTGGTCAGCATAAAGTACCCTGTTGTAAACTGGCTCTGTCAACTGATCCAGGTTTGAAACACACACAATACCTTTCCTCTTAACACAAATCTTCCCCTAAAACTTCAGTAGGAATGTTCAGTTTTGTATTCAGATACTCAAACCCTTGATAATCCCTCTCAATGTATGTAGGATCCTACATAATTGATGTTCCCTTTCTCTTCCATTAGGTTACTTTTGTATAAAATTACACTGTAAGGCTGCTTGTGGTGGTGAATCTGAATTATGTAAGCAGAGTTTGGGAACCTCTTCTCTCCTAAGCCTAGATTTCAGTAGGTCATTAAAAATTAAAGCAAAAAGTAACTTGTCCTTTTAATCCATGTACCCTTCTCATGTATCTATTTCCCAAATCATGGGAATCCACATACAGAATTTTCCAGTTACCTCTCCTTAAGGAGGTTCTTGGAGTGTTCTTAGAGCTCTTTTTCTAAAGTATGTCATAACAGACCACTGCTAGGCAAGGTAAAAGACTTGTCTCTTCTTTATGAGAAGCTGATTGCAAACTGGAGGAAATGGAAGTAGCTTTGGCATTTATTGTTTGCCAAAACAAAACCAAAAGCCACCACTTCATGCCTGCAGAGTTTGCAGAGCCTGACTGTGGCTTAATTGCTCCATTGATAAGTGGAAATGATATATTGTAACTTAACATACATAAGGCTATACATACATAAGGCTATATGTACATAACTTAACATACATAAGGCTATACAAAGGAGCAAATACTGGGACAATGCCAGGGACACATATTGCAATGTACTTCCTTGGTGGGCTTTCTAGTCAAGCTTAACCGAGCAGCTGCTGAATAAGTTGAGACCATCAGGAAAGAAGTGTCCACCTCAGCTTTTAGTAACCAGCAATATTTTTGACACCAAGGTCAAAGACAGAGAAAAGTAAAAATGTCTCTTCTAGAAAATTATTGGAAAAGTCAGTGCAAGATGTGGGGAAAATCTATTTTAAAAAAAATCTCTTGTCAATTTGGTTTTACCCACCCACATTCCTGCCATAAAGGAGTGGCATGTGTGATAGGCTCTTTGTTTCTGACATCCCCAGTTCTGCTCTATCCTTCTTGATGCAGTGGGATGTAAACAGCACATAACATTTGACAGCACACATGCAGGAACAGCAAGAGGTTTTTTAGAAGGAATGCTTTCTGAAGTCTCTGTTTCTTCTCTAATCATTTCTAGCATTCAAACTCCTTTTAACAACAGGCTGGTGTTTAATGGGGATGGTCACTGAAGAGTAACAAGCACTAGACCCTATCACATTATTTTTTCATTTTTAACAAGACATTTCATCTGCCAAGTACAGTCAAGTTTTGTGAAGGTTTTCTGTAGCATTTTATTACCAACCTTTGTTTTTCACAGGCCTGAAAAGCTTACTCAACAGGGATGTTTTGCTGCTGATGCTGTTTCACTGTTCAGTCCCTGTCAAGGTCAGATGAATATGTTGAACACCACAGGTCTCTCCACAGCACTGGTGTGACACATGCAGTGCTGGAGCACAGGCTCTGGACTGGCCAGTACAAGGCATAGACATACTGAACAATCCAGCAAAGGGCCTCACTAGTGACTGAGAGACTGGAAGTACAAGGAGAGGGTGAGAGCTGGGACTGTTCAGCATGCAATAAAGATGACTTGGTGGGGGAGGGAAACTTACTGATGTCTCTAAATACAAGATAAAAATATTTATCAAAAGCACAGAGATCCACCATAAGACAATCCTACTATAGGAGCCTCTATAGCAACATTCTGTTAATTTTGCAGTTCTAGTATCCTCTCACCAAACCTAAATAGTGGAGCAAACAGGGAATTAATTCTGCAAATACTTAAGTCAAAAACAAAGCAAAAGAAGTCCCCATACAATGCTGTCAATTGAGTATACATTACAGACCTCAAAGGGTTTTTTAATAGTTAATGTATGAAAATGCTATCCAGTGAATACAGGCACACAGAAATAATCTGAAAGCCAAAATTAAATGCCTCCTCAGCACTCAGCATACATATACAGAAAGGTGTATCAAATGTTTGAGAGATGTATATGTTTAGACAGAGTTCATGAATATAGAAAAACATTTTGCCAGTTACGAAAGTTCAGCAAAATCTGAATATCACCTGATTCAGTATTTTCAGTATTCTGATTAAAATATACAGTCCATAATACATTGTTATATGCACAACTGTAGCACAAGCTTTCAAGACTTTAAATGTAGCAGCATGAAGAGTTGCTGTAATACTTCATGCTTGGGATAAACTTGAAATTAAATAATCATGTTTTGTTTCCACATTTTTAATGTTTAGAAAACCTCACTCCACCCAAGATTCCCACAAATGACATTGTTTGCAAAGATAACTCCCAAGGAAGTCCAGGAAATAAAAGTTCACTTAGGAGCAGGCCCTGATATTTACCTTCCCTGCCATGTGCAATGTCTTTGAGTGTTAATGGGTACTGTGTGCAAGACCTTCTCAAGCAGTGAACTTTCAGTGTATTGCCTTTGATTCTGGCTACAGGAAGAAACTACCTGAAAAAAGATAACATCAAAAAATGATGGCATCTCAAACACATGCCTTGCATAAGAGCATATTTAAACTATGTGACCGCTGACGTATCCTGAGCAGAAAATAGGGACTGAGGCATTATTTCTTTTTCACAGAATCAGCTGCTGTGGGGATGGCAGTTTCTCAATTGCTTTTCTAGACTAGTTCCTCCAGCTATTTATGATATTACATGTACCCAAAGAACCAATCTGTAATATTATTAATGAGAACATTTTCAGCTCCAGAAAGCTTAAAAACACGTGGAGATCTCTAAAGAGTTAATTTGGTCTGTGATCCATCCTGACAGCCAAAGGGACAGCAGGGATTCAAGCTGCTTCCCTCTGCTAGAATCAAATGGGGAGGGTCTGAATGCTCAGGCTCCCACGGTCTGACAAAGGCACAAACTGTGTCTAAACACAGGCACCACACTGATCAAGCAATTAGATAATTAGAACAACTTCAATATAGCTAAGAAAAAAATGTTATGCACACATTTTTCTGTATCTAAAATACCCAGTTTTTTATTTGTCACCTTGAGCTTCGTAAGGACCTTCCTTGTAACAATATGCTCTATCTGTTGTTAAACCTTGTTTTCTGTCTTGGAAGAGGACACAAGAAGTCTATCTTGCTTCATGTTTTGAAACATCACTATCATCCATCATCACCACATCTTAGGTTAAATGTTTTACTGTTTTGCCTGTGCTGCCACTATTGGATCTTTCACAAACATCTGTGAGCGCATTTATAATTTTCCACCAAGTGTGCAGATCATGAATATCAAGACAATAAAATCAGAAAACATTTTAGCCTGAAATACTAGCAAGCACTATTTTGTGGACATTCACAAAACCAAACATTTCCACTGGGAAGAAAAGCAGTTTAAAGTACAGAGAAGAATGTGGAAAAAATTGGATGTGACAAGCAATATTGTCCCTGGTTATGCAGTCCCAATCAGAATAGAATCACTCATCATGCTAAGTGTTTTGAACAAATGAAGTTTCCTAAACTCTGGGAAAATTACATTTTAGTTTTTTGGGGGGTTTTTTGTTGACATTTTCTTCTTAGCTGTAACTGAGAAAACTCTACAAAATCACATTACACAAGTTTCTTTAATTATCTGAGTAGGTTGTTACAGTAGCATAGTCTCTCTTCTCAGGGTCAGAACAGTATCTTGTTTACAACACTTTTAATTCATTACAATCTACAGAGAAAGAAACTTGGTCTTGAAAAACAAGAACTGTTCTTCATAAAATACAGTTCTTCATAAAGTACAGGGAGTTTCTCTGCATTTTGTTACAGTGCCCAAATTATAAAATCAGCTCTTGTTGCCATAGTTGGACCCACCTGGGTCACAAGACTGAAAATCTGCAGAGATGAAACTGTACGAGTACTTCAATGCTGAGAACATATGCTGCTTGCAAAATAATAAGGAAAGCATGAAAATCTGAGATCTGTGTTATTGATACCTGCTTTTAATTTCTGTAATGCATCTTTTAATTTTTCACCTATTGACTGGAAAGGGTGACTCTCTTCATCAGTCACAGAAAAAAAATATCAGCAAGAATAAAAAGATTGAATTTTCAAAGAGGTAACTAATGTTACACAACTTATGTGGCAAATACATCTTGCAGTGCTTGAGGGGAAACATTTGCAAACCAAATTTACTCGTAGTATGACAAACTGAGAGCTGACAAATGTCAGAGCAGAACAGTGCCTGCACAGAATGAGTGCAATCCTACACATCTTATGACACCCCCCTGCTGCCACTCTGTAGTCTGAGAAAATGATGGGCTGTCTCAAAAAGCACTGCACAGGTCCCATCTCTTCCCTTGGCATCAGGTTGCAATTTCAGGGTTTTCTGATTGTTCCCTGTAAATGTCTGTTAATGTATGTGAATGGCTCAAGGTCCATCTCACCGAAGATGTGAAGAGGCTGTATTCCACCCTATAGCCTTTTCTGGAATTCATGTCACCATTGCAAGGAGCTGGGATAAGACATCCACTTAAAACCACTAAGAAATGAAATTAACATTTCTCATAAGCATTTCTCCCTCCGCCTGCCTGCCTGCTCCAGCTGCTCGGGAAAGAAGGAGCACCCTGGGAAGCTCTGCAGTGGCTCCCAACTATGGCCCCTCAGACACACTTGTGCTCCATGGTACAGAGGCTCTGCATCCCTTACAGACAGAGAGGAACAGCCCCGTGTGTCTCATGCCACCCCAGCACTCTGCGTGCTCCCCACTGCAAGAGTTCTGCTTTAGATCCACTGTCCTCACCAAGACATGGCTCAGTCAGCAGGACCTGCAGTGCTGGACAGCTGCTGGGGAACGACAAAGAGATCCAATCACCTAAACATGGGAAGGAGGACTGGGGTCAGTGTAGAGGCAGATGCTGATGTGAGGGAAGCCAAGACCTTTCTCTCCCCAGGATCTGTTGAAAAAACAAGTTCCAATATGCTGGGTTTTTCCTACATCTATGTTTTATACCTGTCCTTAATGAAGGACATTTTGATCTTTCAACAGTGAAGAAAATGTCTTTTAGACATTTAGAAAATGAGCAGGATTTAACTACTGGGAAAATGGCCATTAGAAAATGGGGATAAGACTAGCTCTTGGGAAATACTAGAACAGTAAACCACCAAATAGCTCCTGTTGTAGCCTTTAAGTATCTAAACCAGGTCATGATGCTCTAGTTATAAAATAACTCCAGCAGTGTTTTGGCAATATACAAGCATTACATTAAAGTAATACATATTATTAAGAAATAATTTTACTAATATTTCCTGAAACTTGCCAATAATTATGGAAGTGGAGATCAGCACTGAATCTGTAATTAGTTCATCTGAAAGAAGCCAGATACCTTCCCAACTGCAAACAGGCATAAAACCATGTGGATGGTTTTAATCCTCCTGGTGCTAATGCTGGAATTATATAACTTGGCACTGATGGCATTTTGTGGGTGGTTCCAAACAGTTCCAAACATTTTGGTTTTTATTCTTTGCTTTTTATTCTACAAAACTGCTGATCTCTGGAAAGAAGGGAAATTGCCCAACACCTGCATGACTTTAGGAATTTCTGATGTACCAAAATCCAGTGTCAGTGTCCACACTGGGTCTCCACAAACTCCGTACTGTGCTGTAGCTGTGCCTACATAGGTAGTGACCATTCCTGCAGAATCCTAAGAACTGGTTTTGTGTAAACAGTGAAGAATGAGGTCACCTTTTTGAACCCAGGAGTCCCAGACTGACTTTGTCCCTGAGATATCAGTCTTCACTAAATAATTTCAACTAAGTCAAGCTATTAAAGACTTTTGGAGGCTGGCAGGGGATAGCACTGCTGAGAGATGCAAAATCTGCCCTGGTTACCTAATAGCAGCTGACATGACTGCTGTAGGACATTACAGGAAGGCCACATATATGAAAGTCTTACAAAAGCCCTGCCTGCTGTTAGAGGATAGAGAGGATTGATTTTTCCCCCTTCTTTTCTGTTAATCTGACTTGCAATTGTGACCTAAACACCAGCAAACTGATTTAGCATTTCTACTACTGTCTGAGCATCTGGACTGCCTAGACCTCTTTGCTGCATCACTGCAACAGCAGGCTAAACCTCAGTCAACAGATTTCCATTTCACTGTGCCTGAGACAGATTGTTACTGTTTGGGCTATTTTAGAAATGAGAAAACTCAAGAAATTGAACCTTAAAGACAACATTCTCAGGGGGTGGCCGTAAATGGGTTATGCCCAAATAATGCCTGTGAGAGACAAGCAAATCTTTACCTGTCAACTGACATTGACAAATTGTAACCCAGCCTCCCAACTTTGTTCCACAGGATTAACTCTGCAAATACCTGCTGAACTCATGCAAGAAACTCTGTTCTGCTTCTGGTCTCTTCAAAGTTCCCCCATGGCTTATGGATTTACGATTGTTATCTTAACTTCTTGGAAAGTAGGCTGCACTCCCACCCTACTGCATGAGCTTAGGAGCTATGAAATAATAAACAAGGAGTCAGATCCTCATACAATGATACAGCATGCATGGAATTTACTATTTTCACAATAACTAGGAGTTATTATATAAATCAGGCAAGAAGTCAAATTATAAATTATATTATTAAAATTTAAAAGTCAATTATATATTTTAATAATTTATATATATATGTATACACACACACACCCAGTTAACCTGAGTAAAATAGCCTGTGAAAAAATCAAATTTATGCAATGCTTTTGCTTTGAAATTGTGTTTTAAAATATTTATTTACTTTTAGGCTGGAGAAATTGACTGCTTCCTTAATGCCACAAGAGACGGATGGAGAAACTCCCTCTATGACATTAAATGCACACATTGGTCCACACAAAATTTAGACTTGTTTGGTGAACTAAAAGCTAAAGTGTATTTCAAACCTAATATAAATGATAAAATTAATGTGTTTTAACCAGGCAGTTAACTGTCATGCTTAAAATATTGTTAAGCAGAGTTCTAGCTGGTGACATCATCTATGAAACATAAGGCTAAGTAATTTAAGCCTCCACAGATGTTGCTTATCTTTTAAGTTAATTTCAAATGGATTAAGAAATCTTTTCCATTTTTCTCTTTGAAAATGGAATGAAGTTTGATTCCTTAAGAAATCAGACAATCAATGAACTTGTGAAACTTTTACTATACACCAGAAATATTGTTTCCCAAAGAATAAATGTGATTTATGGCAGAATACCATTAAAAGGACCCAACATACTGGATGAGATTGGGCCCCAATCTTGGAAAATTTTCCAAGAAAATTTATTGCCCCCAATTCTTGGAAAATTTTCATCATTAAGAATTACCAGATTCCCTCAACATTCAGACATATAAGCTTCTCAGTAGAGTTAATTGCACTAACTAAACCAGGATTTAACAGAACTGACCTGCTACCTCACTTTTTTTTTCCACCCTGCAACTCTTTCCAGTCAACACTCAGTCCAGAATGGCAGATCACTTTCAAAACAGGTACATTTTTCCAAAGCATTGTTTGAAAAAAATACCAGCTAACCAGCTGAAAGAAGATAGCTCCAAACATAAAATCCATTTTAAGAAAAATTATAGTATTATTGAATAGTCACGGAAACCAAGTTCCTATGAACAAATTTAAATAATGCCTTGTACATTGGAAACAGGGTTACTGTTTACATCATTTATGTTTAACACTTGTTTTTTCAGAAGTCCCTCAACTATAGGGAAAGACTGGCATGCAGTGGAGGAAAGATCAGTAACAGCTGACAATGTTGGTCACAAGAGAAGTGAAAGAAAAAAGCTACCCCAGGTTATCAAACCTTTATAAGGGCTGTAATATATAACCAGAAAAATAGACATCATTATCCCTTAAGAGAGGTAGTGACAGGAGAACTAGTGAGAAGGCATAGGATTTGTTCATCTCTAGATTGCTGCTTCACAGAGCTTGTTTAGTTTTGACTTGATGGAGGAGAGCAGAAAACAGGTTCAAACATGACACACATTGCTTGTAATGTGTGCAATGCAGTCATTATGAGCCACTGCAGCTAAATCCTACTGCCCTACAGAATGTGAAATGAATGCCATCAGTCCCTTTTCTCCTGGAGTGCCTCTCCCTCCCAGGCCTTGTGCAAGTCTCTACAGGCCAGTTGATCCTCATTGCACAACGCTTGAAGAGAAGGCATTATCCTCCGCTGAGCTACAGGCTTAATGCTCCTTGTACATCAGACTTAGAACAGCTCTTAGCTAGGCTTCATTTACATTCTCTATTACCTTCCAAGGTGAGATGTCAATGTAACTCAGGATGTAACCAAAGATCACCTAACAGCAGGTAGTTATTCAGTGACCTCCTTCTTGGACCATATGAACCTGCCCTCAGCATCATCCAGGTTATGCATGCAGGGGAATGTCTGAACTAACACTGAGTTCATTCACTGGTGAAATTCCTTGCATGGAGGAAGGAGGAAAAATAGAGATTTTGAATATAGGCTTCCTGGATTTTAAGAACATTTTCCATGACAGTGTAGTACATAATTTTGGTTGAGGACTTATAAGACCTTGCCATACAGCGAACTTTCCTTTTGAACACTGCAATATAATTCTTGGCACTGAAATACAATATTCCAATTAAATGACTCCCAAATGTGAGGACAGTCCAATAATCTATGGAATTGTCTTTGCTACCATCACAATTAGCCTGCAACTGGTCTTTTCAGAGTTAAGTATCACCGCATTATGAGATCATTTCCATTTCTAATGAAATTTGTACAACCATTATCTAGACCTAAACTGAAGAACAGATACTGCTGCTAATTTTGGCTAATCTGGATGTTTTTGTAATATCTTAAGATTTCTTTACCAAGTGAAGAAGATGTAATAAACCAGTGTTCTTTAAACAATTTTGACATGGACAGAGCTGGAAGATCACCTTCTTGCAGAGGTTCTAGATGTAGGAAAGAAGCCTTTACTGAAAAATCTAAGCCAGTAGGTGAAAGAATAAGCGAAAACTCCTATTGGTACCTGAGAAACTGAAGGAACTAATCAATAAATTAACTGGGCTGAAATTTCAAATGCAAGTATTTGAACTGATGATAATATAGTACTTCCTTGGCTTAGAGATAAAGACTCTTTTGAAGGGGAAGCAAAATGCTGTGAAAAGGTCAAACAGACTCATGGGAAACATCTCTAGTTTTTTTTCTTCCTTGTGTTAAGACCTGGTTATCTATGTATCAGTTAAAGAACACAACTCTCTAACAATCTCCATGGAAGACAAGAGTTGTGAATAATTTCAGATGTAACATTAGAAAGCCTCCAAGCATCTGAAATATTTTTAGCAGTCTCCAGGAAAAAAAGTAGGGGTAAGAAGGTGCACGTTGTGAAATGCAATTTGGTTCTTTCTGATTAACAAACTGGCAGAAAACAAGAGGCAAGTATCTTGGTCTGGTTTTTCCTGCTATAGCTGGAAAAGTATATTCTGGAAATATTAGTCTAGTTGCCTGCTAATATACATATGAAATACCACCCTCTAAGCCCTCCAAAGGCCATTAGAGAATGGCTTTATAGAATATTTTAAAAAAATATCCGCATTAATATTACAGTCTTTTTGACCAGAATCTATTTGTTGTGAGGGAGTAAGCAGGGACAGGAAATCGTTGTTAGATTGTGGCAAGTAAACGGATAAAAAACAAAATCTAAAAGTTTATGATAAACAAGTGGACAGAACATAACCAATGTTCTCTCAAAAAATTTAATATCAATCTAAAGGAGGACAATTTTCTTCAAAATAAAATGTGACATAATTTTACAGCGTATTAGTTTAAAAGAAACTTATCTCCAACTGCTGCATTAATAAATCTATATGAATATAAATAATCTGATTGTATCACATCTGTAAATTCCAGTTACAGTTTAGCAATTACAAGCAAGTACAAATTACTAAGCTAGAGTAATTTTTTGTCCTGGTCTGAATGTTGCGCCAATCTGTACTTTCCTCTTCTTGGGATTCTGAAAACTATCATACCTGGAAACAAACAAAAAAAAAGACATTAGCAAATTCTTATGAAATGTGGTTTTTGTGTCTGCCTCTTCACATGCATAGCAATGCACCACAGAACTCCAGATGTTTAAGTAAATGTTTATGTAAATGAAAAGTACCTGTCTCTTCAGACCTGGGGACCTGGAGGAGTTATCACCCACACACCTAACTCAGAGAGCTCTCCGCCCTGCTTCCTTTGGTTTTTTCCCAGCTTTTGGTCACCAAGTCCAAGGAGACACATTCTCTTTTCCAGTATGTTTACACTTCTACTGATTATTGCCTTTTCCAAACACAGCACCTACAAAGACCACTACAGAGGGTGAAACCCCAGCCATTTGAAAATACAAGGAGCTACTACTAAGTGGAAGCAGGAAAGACCTAGAACCTAAAGAGCCTCTTTGTACTGTTATAGCTCTTAACATAATATCAGGGGGTCCTGGTCTGTTATTTCTAGGTCCTACATGAATAAGACAATTCACTGGTAAAGCAGTTTCCTTTTCCCACTACATAACTTAGTATTTCTTAAAAAACTGCTGTTAAAAGCTATCAACTATTGCTCCAGTCCCCACATTTATTTAAAACTATTGTAACAGTTTCCTTTTCCCACTACGTAACTTAGTATTCTTAAAAAACTGCTGTCAAAAGCTATCAACTATTGCTCCAGTCCCCACATTTATTTAAAACTATTGTATTTCTGATGTACAAGGAATGTGGTAAGATCACATCTCCACTGAATTCAAAATTGCAAAAGAAATACTTACAGTGCAGTAAAATGCTTCCAGTCATCCTGACTAATGGATGGTCTCATACCCTGAAGAGCACTCATCAGATGAGACTGGGTAATAGTTATAGTGGTCTTGGGAAGCACTGACTGATTAAGGGTGCTGTCCTCCTAGAAAAGAGCCATGAACAGACAATGAAAAATTTCTACAGAAACACAGTGCCATCAATATCATTAACTATGGAACCTCCCCATATACATATACAGACAAATGTATTGAAAAAACAGTCACAACTTTCCCCCCTCCATATGAATAAATAACAGAAATAACTGTTGAATGTTAACATGAATGCTAACATCTGGCTTCCTCAAATTAAGTATCACTTATCTTCACTACTTTCATTACACAGTATTTAATATTATTTACATGAATGCTAACATCTGGCTTATTTTCCTCAAATTAAGTATCACTTATCTTCACTACTTTCATTACACAGTATTTAATATTATTGCAGAAATTATTTACTGAAATACCAAGAAGTGTGGAAAAACAACAGAGAAGTGTTAAGACTAAATAATAATTTTAAAAAGTGCCATACTCCATTCTTGCTTCTGTAATTGGCCTTGTTAGCATTGATTTCTGTACTCAGGTGCTCTGCTTGCTGCTCCTGGTTCTCCAGGGAGCCTTCTTGAGACGCTGTTCTAAGCATTGCAGGTTGTGAGGATGCAACATCTCTCTGAGTGATGCTGGTGAAGTCGTAAGTTATGGAGTTTGGACCGGATAAACACAAAGAGCTCTAAATTGATCACAAGAGGAAATACATTAATTCGTTATGGATCCAAAGGAGCAATTTCATTACTAGGAATTAGCCTACAATTCAATATAAGCTTGCCTCCACTGGGAAAAAGAGTACTTTCTCTTTAAAATATATTACATATGTAATTTTTTGAACAGAAAGATTTAAGTTAATATGCCAAAGTGTTTGGGCAAAAGGCCAAATTTGAAAATTAAGTGTTTCATGTCTGGAAAATATGTAACTATTTTTGTAATGGCCCATCTAAAAAAGAATAAAAGTCTGCTAAGTCCATGGCTTTAATTACTTAGGAAAATCAGTGGATGAGTTTATGTAATTAGCTTTGGAATTTAAACATTCATCACCTTCAAATTCCCTGTGCACTTGATAAGTAAGCACCTTTCCAATTTAACAACTTCAAGAGATCAAAGTCCTGGAATCCTTGCTGAAGAATTTTCAGTCAGAGGAAAACTAAGTCTTTAAAGTTACATTAATTGAACACTATCATGTATAATGCAAGACAAAATATACCAAAGCACCTTAGCAGCCAGTAGTTACTTCTCTAATATCAAAGTAAGTTATTTTTGGCTTTAAGAATCAATGCAAGACAGTTTTGAAAACAAGAGTCTAAGAACTTTGATTACTACTTGTAGTAACAGTTCAACAACAGATTGAAATTAATTTTGAAAATGAGTTTCCCACAGATCACACACAAACTCTGAAATCGTGTGCTCACTGTAAGGAGCTTGAGGCAGCATACCCTGTTCTGCTGACCTGCTAGCCAAGAGAGATGAGCTGCTCACTGTGCAGGTGCTGGGCAGACAACCTGCACATCCCTACCTACACACTGGCCAGAGAACACGCTGCTTTATGTGCAACATGATGCAACATCAGGAATTCTGCTTAAAGACAATGACAGAAGTTAAGGTTTAGTTCTGTTCTTTTTCACAATTCCATGGTTGACTATTCTATTAATGCACACTTTACTGGGAACCTGAAGAAGGTTCATTGATTCTCGAGACTGTAACTTGATTCTTGAAAGCTGGGTTGTCACTCTTCAGTAATAATACTAAGTTAAAGAAAAAACAACAAACAAACCAACCACCAAAAATTCGAGAACTGTTTTAGTGTTTGGAAGAACTTTGGAAGGGAATAAGTCATTTGACCTGAGAGTAAAATCTAATACGAATGCAATTTGCTTAATTATAGGGTATTAAGCAGTATTTTGTGATTTTGACTTTAAACTCCTGCAAGGTTGCAGAGAAGTCCATACTGTTATTTTCTCACTTCACGTCCTTCCATCCCCTTCCTCATTGTGGACTACTAAGTATAATCTGAACACAGCAAAAAGGTCAAAGCAGACATAATTGTATTTATAAACTGAACCAGGCAAATGGTATTTTTTTTTCTGCTTCTTAACTAGTAATATTTAGAAAATTCAAAACATTAAGTGAGTAATTTACCAGTTCTGAAGGAGTTCCATTCCCCAGCTCTGATTCATAAGAGCTTCCAAAATAAAGACGATACATGTTGGACCTTGGATCTTCAGGAAGCAAGTCAGACATATCTAAAGAAATAAGAGAGTGCTCTAGCACTGCTTCTCCATCTGTCACTGAATCATCTGAGCCACTGCTGTGGTTTAGAAAAACCATGGAAGAGAGACTGAAGTCACTATCAGAACTAGATCCAAAATCCTGTAACAAAAACCAGAACATTACAAGAGTTAACTCATAACAAACTGCAATTGGAAATACATGAAAAGATTTGATACACAGTGCAAATGAGAGTATCAATTTACATTTGACTCTAGTAGTAATCTTTCTCTAGGAGAATATTTCTAAATATTTTGCTAAGAAAATCTAATACCTTTAAGAACTTTCTGTCTTCAACCTAGAAAAATAGAGTTCAGGAGTTAATTTTAAGGTTTTATTGTTTCCACTGCCTCACACTCTCAGTAACAGCAAGCACTGGAAAACTTCATGCATATGCTGTGTTGTAGAACTGTACCACTTCTGTCTCAACTTTACCCGCTAAGCAAACTATTATCTTGTGTAAAATGCTCTAGGAGGCTGAAGAGAGTCTACTCTTATAGTGCCTAACTGCTGTACTTGTTTTCAGTCTCTAGCCAATACACTTTAAATGCTGATGTGGAAATCAGAATTGCTGCTTTAAACTGGTGTCTGCAAACCTCTCTGATGACCTCTATCAGTCAAAAATTTCTGAGCACACTCTACCAAGCAAATGGATATTATTTGTAAATTCTACATGTACCACTGAAGTTCCAGTATTTTTCTCCTGCACATCAATGGACTGCCTTGTGCTTTCTCTGGGGTGTGTGCATACCACTCTGGACACCACTCTCTTGGACAACAATCTCTTCCTATGATGGATAATCATGAGGTATCAACTACTTACTGATGCTACAAGTGAAGGGAGTGTTAGGGAAGACATGCTGGAGATCACTCTCAATACTAAGAGTCACATCCTCAGATGCCCAACTTCTTGGTAACAGCTAGGGCAAAAAGAATTCAAGAGGGTCTCCTGCATTTTGCACCCCTGACCCACCCCTTCCCTTTGGCCACTGAATAGTGGAAGGCATGCCTGCTCCTTTCCAGCTAGAACCAGAGGACAGGCATTAAAAATGTGAACAGAGGTGGCTGAACAGAGGGTAAAAGAGGAAGGATTTGCCATTGAGTCAATCTGCCATTGATCTGTCATGAGGGGCACAAACCAAGTGTGGAATCCTGTTCTTTGGAAGTTCAAGTGCTAGCTGGTACCTGGAAGATGAGGCAGAGCTGGCCATTTCAGGTATTGCCATCCTCTTGCCACTTCTCTCCCAACCTCAGTCAAACCCAATCTGCTGGAACAGCTCCCCAAAACCCACCAATTTCTCATTTCCTCCATCATCTAAAATGTGCCATCTCAAAACTGAATTTGCTATCTGCTCCTAAGAAATTCAGTGTGGGATCCCTCCTGTCAATCTATTAGTTGTTCCTCACAACAGTGATGAACACATTTGGGTTTACATATACCTATTTAACAATAAATACCTATCATTAAATGAGAACAACCTTGTGTTTAAGAAGTATTTAAACCAATTCATTACATTATTCTTGTATTTTTCTGCAAACATTTTAAAATGTTAATCCTCTGTATAAAAATATAAGAAAACATAATTTTGCTAAAAGGCCCCATTGATACAATTAACTCTTTCAAACATATCAACATAAAAATAAACAGGAGAGACTTCTTTTATATTAGTTTTATTTACCTGTGTTAAGCCTAAATTTAAATTAGTATGAATTGCCTCTAATTGGGCATTGTATAATAAAGCTTTTAGGTCAGCCCCTGTGAACTGTTCTGTTTTTGCTGCCAAATCCTGAAAGTCCACATCATTTGCCAAGGACAGGGAATGACTGAGAGCTTTTAAGATTTCACAGCGTGAATTCTGGAAAAAAGAAAAAAAAATGTCAGTAAAGCAACCTGTTATTTTTCTTGTCCTGACTGCTAGATGGTGCTTTGGCCCTGTCACAAGCCACTTCCTCTCTGAGGGAGGAAGGATCATTTTCAAGGAGATACTGCCCTAATACTAGAAAGATACTACCTTAACCAAATGTAGTATACAGAGATTTCTGTATATATTAATAATATATTTCTCTAATATATCGAGTCAATATCTGGGATTTTATATATGAAATACATAAAAATATGAAAGTGAGCTCTGCTCTTCATATGTCCTTTTGTAAAGAAAAGTATGATGAAAGTGAAATGCTTCTTTTTTATCTGAATGATCTTACTCTAAACCAGAACTTGAAAATAGAAAAAAAAGGAGAAAAAAAAGGGAAAAAAATAAAAAAAAAAGAAGGCGGCACAGGACGAACATATGTGTTTCAGAATGAAATGATGTGGTGGTATTTATTAAGTGTATGAACTAATCTGAAAATAAATGGCGCTAATGTCTTCTCATAAAATGGGGAATCAGGGACACACTGTGCAACCTCTAAGGACTGGCTATGGTTTAAGCAAATGGCAAATCCACTGGATTCATACTTCAAAGAAAGGTAGAGAACATTATACACACTACACTGCATCCAGTTTCTTTCTGCAAATTAGTTCCCTGTTTTTTTAATTTTTTTTTAAATCAGCTAGATCTACAGGATATGACTGGATCCAGAAGACTGGTAAACAGCTTTTTCTTTCCCCAGTTTTATGTGAACACACTGACATTAAAAGCAGGGAATTTATCCTGTTATATAACGAGCTGGGAAATAAAGTCCACTTTTTCCAAGTTTGAAATGCCACTACATATAAAGAAAAGGAGAATAAAACCCATTAGTCTGATTTTTACCTTGCCTCTTGTGTGACATTATTTGTCTCCTCACCTGATCAGGAGGTGGACAGTACAGGCATTTATCCAGTCGACCTGGCCTTAACAAAGCAGGGTCAATCAAATCCGGGCGACTGGTAGCAGCTAGCACATAAACTCCTTAGGATAAAAGTGCAGAAAAATGCCATTAACATCTGCTAAACTTCTGCATGAAAAGGAGCACAAAGGTGAATTTGTACCTTGCAGGCCTTCCACACCATCTAACTGAGTCAACAGCTGGTTAACCACTCGGTCGGTGACTCCTGTGCTGTCGTGACCTCGGCGAGGAGCAATAGAATCAAACTCATCAAAGAAAACAATACAAGGCTTAGCTGCCTGAGCTCTAAAAGAGAAAAAAATGAGCAATACTTATTTTTCTGTTCAAGCTTCATTTACAGGTAAAAATGCTTAGAAATATTGAAGGTAATTGCTTTTTGCTTCAGAGAACAGTTGTATTTAATGACAGAATAGAAAATCTGTCTTCTGTAAAATTTAGGAGGTTCTGAAAACTGGGCTGCAATAGAATCACTGCTCATTTTATGACACACTTAGCACTCACGTTATCATTTCTAAGTGCTCAACTGTCATATTGATATACATGAAAGCTCTAAAATTCAATCACTGCAGATGAGTTCTTGGCTTACAGACAGCTAACAAAAAGACTGCCTACATGGGAAGTTGAAAAGCAAAGGCTATGTAGGATATGTTAGCATTAGGGAGCACTGAGGGCCAGTAAGAGCAGATCTATAAAAATGAACTACTGGTATTGAGGACCTCAATACCAAGTTTAATATGACCATAGGTATTGAGTGTGCGTTACTACATGGAGTACAGTCAGCTTGAGTACTGTCTTCTGGAAACATGTGAAAGGAATTCAGGATGTGTTTTCCAAGAAATTTCTGTGATGTGAACCAATGCACTGTAGCTGGAGAGAACTGAGAGTTCAACTCCAAAAACACATTCCTCATTGGAGCCAAAATGGGCAGTTCTTTAACAATGATGGCCAGTCTGAACCTGCCAAGATACACCCATCTGGTTCAGCACAACTGATTATTTCAGATGCTTTTATGATCTGATGTCATATCTCTCCTCAGACAACAAAATTATTTATTTGTGCTTCAACCAGTGAAATTTACTGATCACAAATCTTTACAAAACAAACCTGTTAAATATGTCTCGAACTGCTTGTTCACTTGCTCCAATGTATTTGCTGAGCAGCTCTGGTCCCTAAAAAGATATAATCAGAAAACAATACTCATGACATGTTCCTTAGTTTTAACGTGTAATTCAACATCAGCATATATTTTGTGTACTAGACTAAATTTTCTTGCAACCAAGACAATGTTATCTCTGAACAGAAGAGCCAAAGAGTCTAGATAAACCAGAAGAATTTTTCTAGCATTTCAACTTATTTAAAAGTAATAATTTCCACTTTTGTACCACAACAGAACATGCGTTACATTATCTCAAAGCAAATGTTTACACTGCATTTTAAAAATGTTTAAAATATATTGCTCAATTTCATTGTCTGGCGGAATCTGGGGTCTTTTTACAAAAAAATGAGAAACTAAGAACACCTAATTAAATTTTATAATTCTGTCTAATGAATAAATATACAAAAAAAATCTCAGTAATAAAACTGTGAAGTTCCAGGAATCAGATATCCAGAGGGATATCCAGAAACTCGCTTAAATGTGAGTTTCTTACTGTAGTCTTATGCCCTCACAAGCACATAGTTACAAGTATTACGTAAAGTTATTTCATTCAGTTAATAAAATGAATCAATTAAGCTTAAACTGTTGCTACCTTGATGCTGATGAAATTCATTCCACTCTCTCTTGCAACCACTCCTGCCAAAAGTGTTTTTCCTGTTCCAGGTGCTCCGTACAGCAAAACTCCTGATCTCTGTCGAATGGGCAAGCTGGCAAATAATTCTGGATACTGGAAAAGAGTTCCAATGTGATATATTCTAAAATAAGCAAGTATTCTGTAATGTACTGTAACATCACTGACTACTGATGATTTTTCTCTAAACAGAATGCATCTGATTTACTATATGCCCAGTATTATCCCCACAGCTTATCTGGACTGCTTTTAGTTTACCTGGGGCTGAACTAGGTTCCTAGGTATAACAGGTACCTAAAATACAAACAAGTGGGATTTTCTACCAAGAGGAAACAGGCCAGAATAGGGATGAACTAGAGCTTCATATTCTCCATACTAGTAGCTCTAAATTCCTATTTTAATCACTGAATGACATGATCATATATACAATTCAGCCGTTTCTCTGAAGAGTCAATGCTCAATGGCTCATCTCAACATTCAAGTTTTAAGCAAGGCAGAAAGGCCAAAGTAAAATAAGGTGAAATTGATGGATTGGCATTCATCTGAAAGAAAATACTCCTCTAGCAAAAGCACTGCAGAAACCAGCTGGAAATGTTGTCTTTACAGAGCCTAATCACAAGCCCTGCAAGCGAGTATGGCAATACTCCAACACCGTAGAGCAACACTTGCTCTGTAGTAAAGCTCAGCCTTTGCCTTTTGTATTTGGAAGAGAGAAGGGGAAGAAGAAAGTGTTTTCCAGTAGCTGAAGACAGCTGAAGATTGGAAAGCTACAAAATCATGTCTGTCATCTTTCTACCCAACACACTCCAAACTTTAAAAAATAATTCTTCCCTACTAACATTATGTACAAAATTCAAGTAACTAATTTAAAGGAACTTAGTACCTTTGCAGGTAACATGATGGTATCCCTGAGCATTTGCTTCACATCTTTTAAGCCACCAATCCTGTCCCAGACAAGGTCTTTAGGTTTATGAAGGTTGACATTTCTCAGAGCTAATGGAGTAAAATCTTTTAGAGCTTTTTGAAAATCCACAGTTGACAGGTTCAAATCTGCTTTAAAAAAACAAAGAAAAAAAAATCCTGAAAAAACCCCAAACAAACAGACTGCCAGTAACAAACTCCTTACAATATGTAACAATTAAAGAGACTTAAAGCATAAAATATAAAACCTGGGGGTTTCTTTCTATATCATTCCACCAGTTCTAGATAACAGAAGTAAGACTATGAATTAAGAGATTTTGTTGTCAACATACCACCATTATCTGATGCATTCGGGTTAGAAGCACAGGTATGAATGGCACGATCCACCAGCATAGTAAAATCTCTAGCAACAAAACCTTCTGTTTCCTTCGCAATACACTGGAGGTCAAGATCAGAGAAGTCCTTTGGATCAGAATTCAGTTTCCTCTTTATTATGGAATACAGCATTTCATATCTTTGCTTCTGAAAAAGAGAATTGTGCAGCAAGTGTGTATTGAGTTTACTATTTATATGGAGTTCAGGAACTCAAAGAGTAAATAGGCAGGACTTACTAAAATTTCCTTAAATATCTGCGTAACACCAACCCTTTAAATAACCAAACCTAAGCAATATAAACAAATGCTAGTGCTTCAGGTGCACTTCACCCATTTTGTAACTAAATATTCACCTCACCAGAGCTACTTTAAATTCAACATTAATAATGAAACATCCCTCCCTCCCCAGATTCTATTGTCTTACATCATTTTTTTCTGTTTCACAGGAAAAAGAACATATTTCATTTTGTCACCATGAGCAAAGAATATGTTTGAGATGCAATATATTGTGCTAGATAAAAACACTTCAAATAATATGGTATCTTTTGAGATCTTGACTCATCCTTAATTGAGTATTGGTATTAAAAACAATAAAAGCAGACTTGCAGGAAGTGGGAGAAAGTTAAACTGCATCTAACACAGCATCCCCTCCTCAGTGGCTTTTAACAGCTGGCCTGTGACTGAAGACACACAGACAGGAACAACTCATGCTAAATACAAACGAGCCATCAGCGGATGTGAGTTTCAAAGTATCTGCTTTCTCCTGCATGAAACTTAATACTGTTCATTCTTCTCTTTATCCTTTTTTTTTTCCAAACTGGACTATGTTCAAAAGTAGAGGAATAGTATTAATATGGAAACAAACCTAAACCTGTCCCATAAAATTAACATTTAGTTTTAATAACATTTTTAAAATGCATGTTCTAAGGACATACTTATTTCATTGAGCTGTGAAAAAACACACATTTAATTTCATTTCTCTAACTTGATGACTTACATGTTTTACAAAGCTGCTCTCTCAGCATCCCCTTAGAGGTAACAAGGAGACATGCGTATCTCACCTGTGTTAGACAACCTCATGATGAACTCATGTTGCATGTTAATCTCATTTCATATTGAACTGAAACGTTCTCTGAATACAACCTTCTCTTATCACTGAAGAGTGGGGCCAACTGTGAGTTTTCACTGGATTACTCTAACTTTTTTTATCTTTATAATGACAGACATAAGTTCTGAGGTACTTAAGTATCATGAAAGAACTTCTAAGATTTCCAGATTTTTTTCTGATCTTCAGGTGTAACCTACTACTTCTGCAGCTGTTTCTGCATCATATTTGAGGCTGCTGGGAAGGCAAGCAACATTTTAACCATTTTTATTTGAACTTACCTGGTCTGGAGATCGGATACATTTGAAGCACTGAAATATATGAGTTCCTTGTGCTGAAACCAGGGAAGGATGAAGGGAATGTTCAGACTGACTCGTGGCAATTAATGCAATCAAACTCCCCATGGCAATAACTTCTTTCATCAGATCTTTCAAAACTAAACACAGAAGATATTGCTCCGTGAATTGAAAACAACAAAAATAACTGTAACCCAGAGAGAAGCATCACTGCACACAAAATATAACAGCTTTGTAACATATTATTTTCATTCCTATGTTTACAGTTATTTTTAAACAACGAAAAAAAAAGGTATAGTGATTCTCTCTAGGACAGCACATTCCATTAAGAAAATGCCATCAGAAGTGCTTTTTAAAAGCTGATTTTCTACTTTTGTGTGCTATTACTCCCTCCATGCAAATAAAAAAGAAAAAGTTACAGGAAAAAGCCCCAGATCTTAACCCGAGAAAAAAAGCACTCCAGGAGGAAGGTATTACATAAAAGTAAAAAACAATTAAGGATGCAAGGTAGATCATTAAGAAAAAACCTTTAAAACTCTAAAGCGCTGTTGTATGCATTATACCTTTAAGTAATAAGAAAACCAAACAATTCTGCATGCAACTTAGCACTTTTTTAAGGAAGAAATTATAGTACCACTTTCTGAATTTCAGAAGTATTTCAATAAAAACTATTCTAACTTCCTCAAACTGAGCTAAGAAATGGAAGGCTATGTCTTTATTAATTTTGGTTATTTAGATTTACTTTGCAACTCAGCATTGCCTGGACTTTCAGGAATAAAAGGGAACCATATACAGGATGTCAAACTACAACTGATCATCTTGTTTTTAACATTTGTGATTTGTTACATTGTAAAACAAAACAGAAGTTATACAATGTATACTAAGTAGGACAACAGAGAAGTTGGAAGTCATCTAAAATAAGCTGGTTCTCAACATCAGTAAGTATCAAGTTGATGTATCACTGTAATTATAATTATGGAAAACAAAAAATCAATTTATCAGAAATTATCAGTTAAAGATTCATCTGCAGTTTGTAATTAATTGCAACATATTTAGCTGTATAAAAAGAACAGAGAAGCCTCAAGCACTGGCAGTGGTACTGACAACAGGTATTACCAAGCAGCAGTGGTGGATGCACATATTCCAAGATGCAGAGTGCATTATTTTGATTCAGCTAGGGATCAAGAAATGCCTACATACCATAATTTGTGAGTCTCTGCCTGAATATCACATGCTCCAGAAGCAATAATGATACAGACAGAATTGTTCAGGTAGGACAGTACAACTCAAGTGGTAAGAAATTCTAAGTTGCATTATATTTCTATCTAGACAAAGGTAGAACAGTTTACCATAAGCAAGTCTATTGCTTTGAACAGTTTCAGGGCTGTTCTCATGCTCTGGTGTAGAAGGTACTCCAACAATGTGATCAAGATCATCCATCAGAAGAACGGATGGCTGTCTCCAGGCTGCCTCTAAAAAAGCTTCTTCCACATGTTTCCTTATGTTTACTAATCTTTTTCCTAAAACAAAATACTATTAGAATGACACAAAATATCAGGAAAAAATCAGAGTGACTACATCATGCTCACTTGCTCACAATGTTTAATTTTGTCTATTTTCACTTCACATCTATAAATCCAGATATCAAGATTAAACCAGAATCAACAGTCACTAAAGAAGAGAGGTCACACCTTCAATCAAAAAAGTACTAGAAGGTTCCACATGTTCTAAAATGACATTAATCATCTTTTACTAACCACTATAGAAGCCTACAAGTCTAATTTCCAGACAGTTAAAACCAGAGAAATATCAGCAAGAATCCTGCAATTGGAAGAATTTTCCAGAGCAAAGGACCTAGCTCATCATCAATCTATCCCCTTTTCTCTGGCGCAAGGAGCTCCAGCTTAAGTACTGATTTAAGCAAAAAGAACATAGTGAGGAAATATAAGGGCTCCGTAAGAAAACAACTGAGTATTTTCTGCCCTTGTAACAGCAAGACTATTTAGAAAAGCCAGTGAAATGCAAGAGCAGAAAAATGCCTCCTTTGTGCTCTTCCATCTTTGCGTAAAATAATTATTTTGAACTCACAAAGCGTGAGGGGTCATCTCATCATCTCTAATTACAAGTGTTAGATGCCTATTGCCAAACACACTAGGCTAGTAAATATGCCACCACAAATCAGGTTTCAGATGGTCATTTGATCCTTCTTTGGTGCCTGTGTTATCCTTTCACTGAGTACAGGTATCCTTTAACACTTACGGTTTGTTAACAAAACATTTGTTTCAGCTAGCACAGCTGAAAAAACACACAGTTCAATTTTTGCAACTTCTTCCATTTTTGTAACACTAAGAAATTAGCACAGCAAGCATGGTTTGAATTGGTGGTGGTATGCGGGACAGAAACTGACAGAAGTGTGAAAGAAACTTACAGTAGCTGTATTTTCACCATACTCTTGAAGATACTAATTATGGGTCATCAAACATCCTTGTGAAAACAGCAAAAATGCTAAAAAAATTATTCAGACCAAATATAGTAACTTCATAACTGTGCCTCTATTGTACAGCAAAAATTTGAGATTAAAATACTACTGTCATACCTTTTAAAGCTTTACAATCAATTACTTCTACATGAGCATCCAGTCTAGTGAAAGCTTCTTTGCAGATTGCCTTTCCTAATGTTGACTTTCCACTTCCCTACAAAAATAAATGTGAGCTAAAGTAAATTGACAGAGGCAATGTGTTTCTGTGTTTTTGTCACAGTATGCACCAGTCAACAAGCTGGGGAAGCTGTACAAACATTGGGTTTATTCCTCATTAAAATATATATGTATTCTCTCTCTGTATCACTTAGTAGGGACCAAAGCCCTAGAGTGAAACAAAGATAAATTCAGAGTGGATACATCCAGTACAGTGTTCTGATTCCACTGAGTTCAGTGTTAAGACATCTGCTAGGTTCAGTGGCATATGGTATTAAATGGATCACTGTAAGAAGCAACAGCAAAATAACAGTATCAACCCCACTGCCATTTTATGTTAGAACACAAAATATATGCTTATTTTCCTACAAATACTTCAAGAACAAGAGGTGCTTATCATAATATAAACACAGAAATTGCATTGGTAGCCATCTTCAAAACGTGTGTGTGTGTGTGCATATATATATATATATACACACCTATACACACACAGTTTGTATGTGTGTGTGATAATGTTTTGCTGAATTATCTCTGTCCAGTTAACTGCTCTTTTTTTCAGCTTGCTCTTTATTCTTCAGAACAAAGTATCTTCAGTGCAAAGTATCAAAGAAAACTAATGTCAAGCAGTTTGCAACCATGGAAAACAATGTGCAAGGGTTTGCAGGTGAAAGCAGAAGTGAGTACCTTTCCTCCTGTGAGAAGCACCCCTCCACTTCGCAGTCCCACAGCATTAGCAGCCAGCTTTTGAGATAAAGGACGCCCCAGAAGACTGTGGCTTATGTGTTCAAATAAAGATGTTCCTAATTTGTCCAATCCTCTGTAGGGGAAAGGAAACATTAAATGGCCTAGGGTAGCACCAGTACATACTCTGTAGGCAGTAAAAGCCTGCACTATGGGGGAGTTAGAATGCTGACAGACTGTATTCTCAGTTGCCTTTCCCAGCACTGACAGTATGCTATCACAACACTCCAAGCCTCTCATGTCTCCTCTGCCCCATCCCTTCACATTTGCTACACAGTACTGCTGTTTTCCCTTGTACTTATGACCACAGCACTCTGCATTTCTCTCCTCAGCTGATGATTGCAACAAAACTTTTAGGAGCTACAGTTCTTTGAGATCCTTACTATTAAATGTAGCTGAACAAGTAAACAGGTGGAAGTTACTGGAGGACATGCACTGGCAGATGGCAACTTATAAATTTTGTATATTTGAGCACTCAGCTAAAACGACCCCACTGTCCCTTGCTGCTATATAGAAGTCTGTTCATACTACTTAGAACAGCAAAAACTGACACAAGCCAAAAGATGCAGATTTTGCTTAGATCTGGCATAGTTTCCAAAAAGTCTGCATTTCCGCCAATGTTATTTTTTTCTAATTCTCATTCCCATTCCCTCCCATGTTTCTTCCTACAAAAGTATCTCACCCTAAATCACTTAGTTTGTGGTATGGAAGGGTCTTGTCTCTATCAGGCATAGGTGGCTGGCTGTCATCATCAGCTTTTCTACTTAGAGGATGTAAAACAACCTACAACAAAGGAGAGTTAGGACTTTAGATGAAATATAACCACAGAAGAAGGCTATGGAGTGACCAGCCATTTCTGGTCTTGTGCAAAGACAACACTGCATGCATGCTTTGCTGTGCTTGAAAGAAAAGTGCATTGTTGAAATGGAAGAGATACAACTACTTTCAAAATACAATCTAGTGCTGACAGTAATTTAATAATGTTTGGGCCAAGTGCTGTTTATAACAGACTGTGCAGCCCACTATCTCTTCCCTTATCTGCAGCTCTCCCCCTGTCCTGCTGGCAGGAGAGCTCATGAGGCAGAATACTGAAACTGATCAGGAATCTGACTGGGTGAAAAGTAACTTGACAAAACACCTGGCATGAATTTTCCCATCTTGTTCACCAGGGAGCTAGTATGGCAAGCTGGGCAGGCAAACAGGGGTTGCAGAGGTTCACAGGTAAGAACGGGTTAGTAGGAGGTGTTGACACAGCTATTAAGAAATGCATTTTGCTGTTTCATCTTAGTTTCAGTCACTTGAACAATTTCTAGAAGCCTTCATATAGTTTAGTACTAGTAAAAGAAAGCTCATTTTATTATTTTTTAACAGCAATTCTAAATTTTGCAGGCAAGTTCTATTCTAAACAGCCAAAAAACACCTTTAATTCTCCACTAAAATTCACTGTATGTTTAAAAATGAAGAAAACATTATCTCACTCCTATAACCATAACCCTGAAGTAATGGGCCATGGATCAACTGGAATTACTAACGGAAGCAGTAATTCTCATATTAAATAGAAATATTTATTCTCCTGAGAAATGAAATATGGAAGAAACAGAAGGCACACAAACTATGTCATAGAAAAGGCAGGGTGAGTGTGGTAGGTAGCTACCAAGGGAGAGAACATAAGGATGTATGTGTAAGGACGGTACATATACAAGTAAGTGTGATGTATGTATAAGGATGGTACATATACAAGTAAGTGTAAGGATGTTCAAACTTGGACAGTACTGACTCTTCTCTTTTCTAACTGATTTTTCTGAGAGTTTGATGTGCAAACTCTATGACACTCAGTGACAAGCATGGCATGCCTGGAATTTCAGCAGGCCCTCAAGCTACAAAATGACATAGAGGATGCAGATATAACTTTATGAATAGACTGACATTATTTACTTTAAAAGCAAAACTGAAATATATACAAAATGCAATAAATTTTAAACAAGTATAACAATTTAAATTACTTGATACCTGATACTATGTGATATTTACTTGTATATTTGTCTTTTGCAGCAAACTGGGACTCAGTATAAAAATATCCTCAGACTTATTTTCTTCAATGTGCACGGGATGTGCTGCACTAAGGACAAACTCCTCTATTCCTGTAAAAGCACAATGAACAACTATTAAAACTTCAAATAAATTCAGTTTTTGCTCCTCACAAGACAAGACATTAAAATATTGCTACAATATAATCCAAAATTAAAGACTAAAAAAGATTAATCATTATTAAGGGTTATCTCAAGCTTACACTTGCAGTGTGAAGAGGTATCAGTTACGTTAAAAGGTGTACACAGAAATTAATGGGCACACTGGCCAAGTAAATTCCACAGTAGACAGGACAGTACTATCCTTGCCTTCTTTAACAGACAGATGTACACAGTCTGTGCTTGTCATTATCCACGGGTGATCATCAGTAGTGGAATCCTGCAGCCAAGAACTGAATGCACATTTAACATCATCTTCATGTATATCTTTATGCTAAATAGGAAAAAGGAAGAAGGTAAATAAAACAAAACCAGGTGTCCATAAGTAAAAATGTTTTCTTCCGATGCATGAGGCATTTGTTTCTCTTATGGCAGCACAGAGATGGAAGAAGATGTAAGTTTCATTCATTTAGAAAACAGCATTTTGCCAACAAACACCATTTCTATCAACTGCTCTAGGGAAAACATCTGTGCAGCCCCTGCTACGGCCACAGTACCAGACCACCTCTAAAGATTTTTCCCTCAGAACACTGATATGAGGGTGACAAAAAACTTCTATTTTTGTTTTACTTATCTGCCTTCCCAGATCCAAGGGCACTGCTCAGACCCTGGGTCTGAATATATGCATTGATATTGACGTGAGACTTATCTCAGGTGCTCACTACACCCCTCTCTTTCTCATATACCCTTTCCCTGTAAAAAGAACCCTGGGCGTGCTTATCCAGCTCAGGTGCATCACCAACAACCTTCAACATGATTGGCAAAGACCAAGCAACTTATCCCAGATCACCTAGATAACTGGAATAAAAGAAGTAATTGAGTCCAGATCCCATATCTCTTGGCTAAGTTCCTAATCACAGATGCATAATTCCCATGTAGAAAAGGGGGAATCAATGAAAGTTACTGTAACAATTCTTTCTACATTTGTCTGGTTCTTTTTTTTTCCAAGAACTTAAAAAAAATTAACTGAATTAGAAAGGAAAAGGAGAAATCTGTATTTAAAATATACAAGAGCACATATAACTACTTTTTTTTACGATTTTAGCAGATTAACATCAGACTATCACAGAATTTTCTGAGTTGGAAGGGATCCACAAGGATCATAATAATAATCCTTTTATCTCCAATATAAAAAAAAATGCAGTTCTTCTGTAGGTAAGAAACCAAGTTAGAATATTGGGGATGAAGAACAAACCTGCCTAAGCCTTGCCATGATGGCAAGTGCTGCATTTAAAGCTTTGAGGGGAAGCTAACATGGGAAATAACCAGGCCAGTGGCAAAAGTTAGGAAGAAATACGTAATTCCAGAGACACGTCGGATGGACTATGAGAACTGGTACTAAGTATGTTCCTACTGTCACAGATGCTCACTCAGAATATGTCTCCCTTATCGGAAAACTGATGGATTCAATAATATAACTTAAAAATTTAAATATTAATCACTAGGAAAAGAAAGAAGAAAGCAAAAGACTAAGCAGCACATGCAAATTATGATACTTTCACTACAATTGCCTGGGCATTGCAGTGTTGGAAAAATTTAGGCATGTCTTCTCCTGGAAGGCTTAAACCGGATATTTACTCCTTAACTCTATGACTCTTTTACTTTTTTGTGTTTCTTTTACAGGTTTAAAGGCATACACTTAATATTTACTATGTTTGAACCCATATTAATGTACTTCAAATGAAGGTCTGATGCAAAATTATTATTGATTACTGTTGCTATTTTGACAGAGTTTTTTTATACTTGAGACCTAACTTAACAAAAACTATGTATTTTCCTGACAAGTCCCATGTCTCCTTCATGTCAATATCCTTTTTAATAAGAAAGATATCAGAAACTCATCATGGAAAACCCTATGATTTTAAATGTTTTATGAATTGAAAGTGCTATATCCTTTAATAGCTTTGGGAAAACAACAAGTCAAAATTCAGCAGTTCAGTTTTCTCTATCCACTGTGATATCTACCAGTTCCTTTAAATAGAAAATTGTTCCAATTAGCAGTGTAACTATCTGGAGTTATCTACCAAGAGCAACCCAAAATTTAACGGCTTCAGGTTTACAGTACATTAATCAAAATAAAAATACTAGGTAAGCTCTGTTTAAGTAGATCATAGCAACCTATTAACTTAAATTTACATAGTAAAAGAAAAAACAAGAAATTACACCCCCTCAAAAAAATCCTTTGGAATTATTTCTATAGACAACTTCCAGATCATCATCTAACAAATTAAAACAAATAAACCCAATGCCCTCCCCTTCCCACCCTCTCCCCGTCCCCAGTTTGATCAGAGCAACATTATCAGTTTCCCAATACATGAACAAGTATGTGACCAGTAATATCAACTCACTAAGTTCTGTTTGGGTTGCAGTGTAAGAGATACCGGAATTTTAGGAATAGATTCAATGGACTTAATTCGGACTGTTGAATGCATTTCGATATGTAGTTTTTTTCTCAGACCATCTGCAATCTGAAAAATTTAAAATAAAAGCAAAGAAAAAAAAAGCATTAGAAAGTAAACTAGTTATAACATTATATATATAATACTACATCAATTTCTTCACTAATGGAACCTCAAGAGAACTAAGAAGGAATTTATAACATTGACAGTGATATCCAAATCTTACTCTTACATGCACAGTTCTAGTTACCTGTTATCCTATTTGTGAAAGTGCTCAATACAGCTGACCTTCTACTAACTTAATAAACTCAAAAGCTCAAAAAAGAAGTAGAAGAAATTCTTAGAACATTGCAAGAATGCTCTTAGTATAGGAGAAAAACAGCAATTTAATTTCATTTGCTGATTAAAATTAATTTTACATGGGTAGGTAAATATACACAGACCATTACAAAGACCAAAACTAAGCACCCCTGCAGCAGAGGGACAGAAAATTCTTCCCTAAATCATACTAGTCAGTTTGCCCTTTTAAGGAAACTCCTCTTCAATCTGTTATTTCAAAACTTACACCAATTTGAAAACATGTCATAAATATTTCTTAACTGTGAAAGACTTTATGATTGCTGGCATTTGGAAAATTGTTATGTCTGTCAAAAGATTTCATAGCAAAGACCACTGCAGGCTCTTGTTTTCATTCTTAACAAAACAATGAGTGAATGGTGAGAATTGTATTATGTCAAACTAGTCAAATGGTGATTTGGAGCACATTTTGTTTGTTTTTGTTGATCCCACATGTGCTTCCAGGAAAGAAATAACATAATCAGGCAGTAGTTCTATCAGAACAAGCTGAAACATCAGTATCTTCACACCAGGACTTGTGCCACCTGGCAAAATGGCATATGAAAACTAGAACAGTTTAAATTAAACAAGCTGGTTATTGGATATTAATTTTCAAGATGTATTTTAAAGAGTGTATAAAAGGACTCACAAACATTATGTAGCACTAGGACACGCCATCCCATTACAGGATCATAGGTCAAGGCACATTTCAAAGAGTTAACTGATGAAGAGTCTTAAAATGCTGAAAAGTACTGAATGTTTGTGACCAGGTACTTTCACTTTCTCGTTAATACAATGGCTACTCACAGATTGTGAAGAAAGCAAATATTCCCTTCAAAAACATTGAAGCATTTCCTCATTTGGTGTAAAAATGCTAAGTGTGCAGAAACCCAGAGTACACTGTACATCTTGGAGGATGATGGTGAGTCATGTAGTCCAGAATGAGTACAAAACACGGCTCTAGCAAACAGTATTTGGTTCTAGTAAACTCAAGAGATTAATACAAAGTCTACAGCCCAAAACCGCACGTTAAGTAGCCAGTTCACAACTATCCCATAGAAAATACTATAAAATAAAAAGCCCAAAATATGGTGTGCTCAAACTGACCCAGACTCTTCCAACATGCAGGGCTCCCCCATCATGGCCATACTCTATGACACTCTTTAGGTCTTCAAATCCATTCCAAACGATTTGAACAACAGATCCCTCACTGGATGCTTGACCGCTATTAGAATTAGAAGGGTTTTTGTCTTCTGTACTAGTCAAATGATTTTGCTTTTCAAGGGGTAGATTTTGTTTTGCTTCTTGATGACGCTGTCTTGGGGAAAGCAGCTCGTTAATTTTCCCGTATGATACTACAGGATTTGGATCCAAATCAATATATTCTAAATTCCATGGAAAAACGTGAACAGCATTGCTTTTCAGAAATTCATGAGTGGTGGATACATTCTGTACGCTGGGAGGCTGGGACTGACACACTCTAAAAATGGAATCCATGTGAATTGAGTTCAGCAGCTTGTCTTTGAAGATGCTCATTTCATAGTTATCACATGAAGTCTTTTGTTTCTGTTCAGATGCATTAGAGAAAATGTTCCCAATGAAATTCCATATATTTGGGAGAACATTTGAGCCAAACGTCACGTTTGCATCAGTCTTACTCTGCTCAAGGACTCCAGGCTTTAAGTAAGGTTGTTTGGCAAAAGGATCCTTTAATGTTTCTTCTTGTTCCATGTTATTTTTCACAAAATTTTTGAGCAAGATGTCACTTTCTGTGGCAAGTGTGCTGGTGATACTCTCCTCAGGACCGTGTGTTTTGGGGCATATCAGAAGCTCCGTGCATGGCTCTAATCTCCCATATGGGGCTGGTGGCACAAGTGTACCTAAGTATGAGCAAAAGATGCCAATGAATGCACCTACCCCTGCAACACAGCTCACTGGAGGTGCCCCGAGAGCCTTGAGCTCACACTGCTTACCGATTCTGATGTAAACATGGGTGTGCTGCTCAACCCAGACAGGAAAGATGGCTCTTGGAAACACCACTCGAATCTGATCAAGAAGATGTCTTTCCAGGGAGGAAGCATGCAGTTCCTGGGGAAATGTGATACCATTATAAATTAAATATTGCATACCTTTTTAACATTTGTTTGAAGGAAAAAAGTATGTCTCTTTCTAATGCACAATTTGAAATATAAAATGCAACTAAACTCCATCACATTTAATATTTCCTTAGAGGCTGAAAGGAATGGGGCACTGTGCAAAAAAAACTGCTTGAACCAGAATCTCTGTCATCTGTAAGACAAGAACATGAACAATGAAGGGGTTTTATTACCAGAATTTCCCAATCATCTGCTGTGAGTGGTTCCACTTCTACTTGCTGACAGGAGGAAACATGGGAACAAGGTTCAAGAAACACCTGGCAAAAGTAATACCAAAATATTTAACTCCTTATTTTTTATATAAAAGCTCCATCTTTATTTCAACTAGAAAATTGACATCTCCTTCATTGTATGTTTTCACAACTTGGAACACAAACCATCCTAATGACACTAGGTAATTCATAAGCAGATGAATGCTCAATGGATGGGAAATGGATCCCATTAGGCTCAGGGACGTCAATAAGCAGTGAATATTAAAAGAATTAGAAGTTTATCAGGTGGTAACAAATAATCCATTTTTAATACACCTTGATCACATCACCATCTTTCCATTTTCAAATCTTTATTTTTAAGTCCCCAGGATTTTAGAAAGCTGAAAAATTAATTCAATGGTGCATAAATTTGGAACCAGCTGAAAAATGAGGAAAAAAGTACAATAGAAAAGCAAGCCCAGCTCCTTAATGAATGGTTTCATAGGAAGCAGCCCCACCTCCACAGAACAGTTTTAATATCATGTGAATCAGGAGGAATGGTAAAAGATGTTGTGGTTTAGGTCTTTCAGAATGCATTAAATACAGACTTCAAAAGTCAATTTTTGGCAAAGGTTTCATTTGACAAAAAAAAAAAAACCCCAAAACCACAAACAATTTGCAAACAACATCTTGCAATTAATTTTCAAAGAAACGTCACTAATTTTTTTCCTGATATAAAACTAGTTACCTGTCCTCTGAGAGAATTACGTTTTTTCCTGATCTAAAACTAGTTACCTGTCCTCTGAGAGAATCACCTTTTACAAAAGTAACAATCATTTTTGAAATTCTCTATGTCCTTAATTTGAAGCAATAATTGAGAGGGATATCTTTTCCCCAGCACAGCAAAAAGAAGATCATACAGCAAACATGTAACTCCTGAATCCAAAACAATGGTGAAACGAATTAATAATGTATTTATTTGATTGTACAGATGGTTATCCCCAGCAGCTCCTGAGTGAGGTTATCTTAGGTTTCCTTTGTCAATTGTTTTCCTGTTGAAGGCTATTAGTTTCTAGAAGTAAAAAAGGTACATGCCTGGCTGCTCAACTACTAAATTGGAAATTTCTGCAAACAGACACATAATTTCTAGAGAAAATATGTTTAAAAAGTAAACATAATACACTGCTCTGAGTCACACTCCTTGATGTCTTCTATGATGTTGAACAAAATTCTGTATATAAGAGAATAGGCAAATATGAATATACTACACAATGACACTGTGTAAAGCAGTACTTTTTTATTCTTCTTTGGTTAAATGTCTACCTAGTAATAGAAAACAAATCCTTTGATTTTGAGATTTTAGTAGTCCCATGTCAGAAAACTCTGCCTGCCTCTTGGGTATCTCTAACTTCTGCTCAATGAAACAGTCATTTATGAGAAGTTTAACAAGGTTAAGAAGAGTAAGAGGTAAATGTACAAAGAGTACATAGATAAAGATAGACAGATAGATAGACAAACAGATATCCATAAGAGGTGAATACAAATATTCAAAGAGAAAGGGATATATGGTGAAGGGGTGAAAAAGGGATGAAAATTTAAACCCCAAGTAAGTTAAACAAGAATATGCAGAAAGTCAATAGCTACTTTGAAACAGGAACTCCTAACCAAATATTCCCATTCCAAATTTTTCAATTGCTTAAAAGTGTATTTTCTTAAAATCAATGTCATTGACGAGCTGTTAAAGGCGGCATCTCAAACCTGTTCTCCATCTGTGATGCCAAGTTTCTCTGCCAAATGTCTGTTAATCTCTGCAATATTTTCACTCTGATAACCTCGATGCCTGGTTTCCATCCAGCTCAAAAATACTGGCTGATGACCACAGGATACTTTCACAGCTTGGCCCTATGAGTTTCAGAGAAAGAAAACAAATTGATATAAAACCAGCTAAGTGAGATGACTATTAGACAACCTAAACCACATTTGATTACAGAGATCAAAGGAATGAAAGATATTATCTGGATTTTACACCTTGTTTGCACAACTCCCAACACAGAAGTGAGTGCTGGTTTCATTTCTTAAACAGCTTTCCATTTTCAGGGACTATTTTAAAGTAAGAAAATTAATTATTTTTTCTTTCTTTTGCATGATGTGGTATCAAAAAATATTTTACAGAAATGTGTAACTGCACATTTGTATTTCCCAAATAAGGAAAATAAATAAACGTACACTTTGATTTCACAAAAATTATAACATTTACATGGTCTTCAAGAGTGCACCATATATTTAGAATAAGTTAAAAATCACATTAACCCAGACCAAAATGATTTTATCAATCTGTTTCAGAACTGCCCAGGTATTCTGATGTCAAACTGAAGAACTTATCTAGTATCTTCTGCAATTAGATTCACCTTTTGATTCCATTTATCCCCTTTTAAACATTTTTATTCATGAGATGTATTTAAGACGCTATTTCTACCCAGTATTCTGAGATTCAATCTTTGCATTTAGCAGCTCAGGTTAAACAAAAGCAGGAGTCCACCATAACGAACACAATGACATTACAAGACTTCAAAGCAAGTGCACTCCATTCTCCTCTCTCTTGACATCAGATCTGTAAAACACTCAGAAACTGCAGCTGAAATGAAACTCACATATAATACTACACTTCTTCCAATTTCACCAACTTCCTACTTCTACCCCAAAGGTGAACGAGCAGGTTTTTACACGCCTATGTTGTTTTCCTGTTGTGAAATGCCCTTTTTGGCCTTGAGAACAGGAGGTTACCCGTGCCGAGGGAGGCCTGCTCGGCCCGGGGGGCTGTGCCAGCACTCCCGGGCTTTGCTCGCATCCTTCTCGGCTCATTCCTGCCATTTTCCACCCTGTGTTCATGGCACAAGAGGCACACAGTGGCTCTCCTCCCGTTTCCACGTGTGAAATGTTATTTACAGTGTACGGTGCACTCCACAGAGCTGACCCCGCGATTTCAGCAGGGCTCTGCATGACGGGATTGCCCTTCAGTCGTGACATATTTTATTTGTGTGCACCAACAATGAGGATTCTGCGTGGATTTGTCACCTCTTCTCCCACCTGAATTTAACATTTGCACATTATTCGCTTAATGCTAGCAGGTTACGGGGAAAACTGGTACGAAATAGGGAGTGATGATAGAGACGCAGATGCCCACTGTGCCAGACCACGCTAGGCAAGAAAAATTCCCGCGTTTTATTAGTAATTGAAGACGATACTGGGCTACGCAGGAAGGGGGGGTTCCCCAATGTCTCCCCGTGGGGGGTCCCGGCGGCGGGGAGGGCTGAGTCGTGAGGGAGGGGAGGAGGCTCTGTATCGCCATGGTAACAGGATGCGGGGGTGCGCTCACGTAATCCTCCCTGCCCGCCGAGGTGTCCCTGCGCCCGGGCCCCGAGCGGCGCCGCCCCGGTACCTGCTGCAGGCGGAGGAGCGAGGCCAGCGCAGGCGGCAGGTGCAGGAAGCAGTCGCGGGTCCCGCTCAGGACGACGGTGGCGGCAGCGGCGGCTCCACCGGGGTCGCCACAGCCCCACATGGCCGCTGCCGGCCGGCCCTGCGCGCCCGCTGCGCCCGGCCACGGGCACGGCCACGGGCCCGCCTACCCGCGGCGGCCGCGGGGGGTAATGCTCTCTTGCCACCCCCGGGGCAGTGGTACAACCCACCCACTGCCGGCCAATGCGAGCGCGACATTTCGCCGCTGCCCATCCCTCATTGGCTCCTTCTCTACGGGCCGCGGCTCCTCCTCCCCGCCGCACGGAGGGAGCCAATAGGGGCTGCGCGCCGCGGGGCCGACGGGAAGATGGCGGCCGGCAGCAGCGGTGGCCCGGGCGCTCCGTGCCGGCACCACGCGCAGCTGGGAGCCTGCGAGTCGCGCGCCAAGTACCGCGAGGGGTGGCGGCCGCGCGCCGTGAAGGTGCTGAGCAGGGACGGGACAGGGGCTGGGCAGGGCCGGTGTCAGGGCGGTGTCGGGCGGTGTCGGGCCGGTGTCAGGGCGGTGTCAGGGCGGTGTCGGGCCGAGCCGCTTCGGGTGACGGGGCTGGGGCCGGCCGGGCCTGCGCTGGAGTCCCGCGGCTCCCCGGGAGGGAGAGAGAGAGAGGCCCTGGGCCTCGCCTGCTGCGCGGCTGGAGCTTCTCGTTACTGCAGCAGAACTGCGAGATTTGGGATCTCTGCGCTCAGTGTACAAAGAGCTGTAGCGGCACCTTAAAGGACTGGCGTGAGAAAGGAAGCGCTTAGTTTGGAAAAGACCTTTAAGATCATGAAGTCCAACCCGCATCTGTTTCCAGCCTCTTGTCAGGGAGTTGCAGAGAGCGGTAAGGGCTCCCTGAACCGCCTTTTTTCCAACCTCGCAGCTAGCTGAGCTGCTCCTCATCAGACCTGTGATCCAGGCCCTTCACCCGCTCCGCTGCCCTCCTCTGGACATGCTCCGGCACCTCAGTGCCTTGGAGAGAGAGCCCTGAGCTGAACCCAGGATTTGAGGTGTGGTCTCGCCAGTGCCGGAACAATGGTTACTCCGTGCCCATGCTCATAAGGCACATCTCTTTCACTATCACCACTTTCCTGTAAAATTTCAAACTTTCCATACTTCATGAAGTCTCAAAGCTATTAAGTTCTTTTATTCTTCCAAGTGTACACGGTGGGGTAGAGGACAGAGAGCCTTGTGCATCCACAGAGCTCTGGCCAGCACAGGCATCCAGCCATCACTGGGCACTGGAGAATACACGCAGGAGAAACAATATGGATGTCCCAGGTGTGCAAAAAACCTTATTTGAATCTTTTCTTCCTGGACAAGAAAGAGGTAGAAGGACAACACTTCCAAAAAAAAAAATAAAAATTGCATAGTGAAAGCATCAGGTTCCTTCAATCCCTTGTTCCCGAAAGAATGTAGGTGGGAGTGTGCTGCTGCCACAAGAAAACTTATGTGACCTGACTATGGAGACTTTTTTATAGCAGAAATTTGAGAGTTGATTTCCCAAGCAGTTCCCATTTTGTCCAGAATATGTTTTTTTAAGAAATATGTGTAACTTATGCAGTCTAAATGTTTGTGGTTTGGGTTGCTTTTTTTTAACAAACTCTGAATAAATTTCCTTTGATCTCAGGGATGAGCTTCCTAGCTGCCTACTGTACATAGTGAGCCATCGAAAAGCTTTGCTTAGAGGCTGTTCTGTGACAGTCACTACACAAAGCAGAAGTTAATGATTGGTTTGGTTTTTGACTTGCTGGGAGAAGACCTTGTTTCTCTCAGCATCCAGATTTTATCTGTGTGTCTTAAAAACGTACGCGGTTGGATCACCATGGGAAGTAGAGAGCTCTGCACACACAGGATTTGCCCCAGGGAATTGTGATAATTGTTTTTTAACTCCCTGTGTGGAAAAAAGCAGTTTTCCTCACCTGCATGACTTCTTTGCCAATGAAGAAGACTGATTTTTCAGTGCTTTTTCTGTATTTTGACAGTACCTCCTATGAACTGGTTACTAGTATGTCTTGCATGGAAGTTGGCCAGAGACATAAGAGATTTTACTCAGCAACTGGCAGTAGTACTCTGACATTGTGCAGAAAAGTCAAGTCTCATTTGAGTTTTACTATGCATGAGAGGCATGAGTTCAGCTCTTGCTCAGTGATGAAGAGGTCCCAAACAACCATGCACTTACTGTCCTGCGAAAGAGAGTACATAGGGGTTTTCAGCATCCTGAGAGGATTTGGAGAAAAACAGAAAAACATGGAGAAAATGCGTGCCTTTTGCAATAAAGCAAGAATAGGACTGTTTTTGAATAGTCTTTGTTTTTGTTTTTTTCAGGTTTACACTATCAACTTGGAATCTCGCTATTTACTGATACAAGGAGTTCCTGCATTAGGTGTTATGAAGGAATTAGTTGAACAATTTGCATTATATGGTGCCATTGAGGAATATCATGCTCTAGATGAATATCCAGCAGAGCAGTTTACTGAAGTGTACCTTATAAAATTCAAAAAACTGCAGTGTGCAAGGTATTGGACAGGGTAATATCTGCCTCTTGCTGTCTTAATCTTTTACACCATCTGTACTTGGCAATGTGTTAAGTTTCTAAAGAGTTGGAGTCAAATCCTCAGTTTTGTTGACAGACTTTAATTCCCTTCAGGGTGGCCAAGAAAAAAATGGATGAACGAAGTTTCTTTGGTAGTTTGCTGCACGTGTGCTATGCTCCAGAATTTGAAACAGTCCAAGAAACTAGAGAGAAGTTGCAGGATAGAAGAAAGTATATAGCAAAAGCAACAAATCAAAGAGGTTTGTGGTTAAATTTCCTATAGAATCCTGACTAAATTTCCTGTAAGGCTTTAATATTCTTCAGTACTGGGTGGGGTTTTGGCTAAAGCGCCTGTTAAAGAAAACACTTTCTACCTACCTCTTTTAAAGGTGCTGTAGTGTGTTGATGGTGGCCAGATGCCAGGCACCCACCAAAGCCACTCACTCACTGCCCTCCACAAACTGGACAGAGGAGAGAAAATTTAACAAATGGTTCATGGGTTGAGATAAGGACCAGGAGAGAGATTGCTCATCAAATACCATCACGGCAAAACAGGCTCTACTTGGAGACATAAAGTTAATTTAATACTAATAAAATCAGAGCAGGATAATGAGAAGTAAAATTCTGCCAGCTTCTCACAAAAGCCAACCCTGTAGCACACCCTGCTACAAAAAAACAGGCCATGCAAACCCAATACAGATGCATTTTAAGTATGTTTACAGGGAGACATCTCTCCATATGTAGAGAGCTATATCCTTTTCAAAGTAATTTTTTGGCTTTGATTAAGACTAAAATAATGAAATTATTAAGCTTTAATAATGAAGTATTTCCTTCACTTTTTTTTTTTTTTTTTTTTCCTTCAAAATGTTACCAGAAATTTAAAGCACTGGCAGGAAATTTGGGATCACACGTGTTTTCACCCTTGTTCCACCCTCCTCAGGCATGCCAAAGGGACAGTTTTGGAAGGAATATGACTATACCAGAACCATCAAAAAAAATTTCTCCAGCCCACATCTTTGTACTGGGGGATTGTTAAGAATGGACTGTGTTTACAAAGGCTTCTGTCCCACAGAGTTCCCAGGCAGCGCTGAAGGCTGGGCAAGCTGAAGAATAAGCAAATTGCTGAGCACAAGCTTTTCCTTTCTTGTGCTCACATACTTGGGTATCATTATTCATTGTGTGAGGATTTCTAAAGGGAGTAAACCCACTGATTTTTAACATCATAACATCTGTGTTTTTTCAATGTTATAAACCAGCAAAGGCACTAGACTAGAAAATTGGTTTGAAAGTTGAATTTGTTATATTTGAAGCTTAAAAGTAATCACCGAAAGGTACTGGGTATCACTGGTATTGTTTTGTTCTTGGCTGTTAGAACTAATAATGACATTAAACACTAAAGGTGGTTCTTTGTTGTTGTTTAAAGATTGCTTTGTGTTAAGAAAAATAGAAGGCCCTAAGAAGACAACCTCAAAGAACTCTGAGCATGACTGTCCCTGGAGTACATCGGGATCAAGTATAGCCAGGAACTGGGATCCGTCCTGCTTTGCAAGTTCTCCTGGCATATCCCACAGCACAGCATATCCATCTGGGAATCAGAATCAGAGCCTGTTAACACCTCCACCCTATGATAACAATTGTGCTGAAATTTCTGGGTACTTTGGTGAAAACACATCTTTAACTCCAAGTGTACATCCAGGAGGACATACTCCACCAGTTTCCTTAATGCAGCAAAGAATGGTTCCAGCTTGCAATGGAATTGACAGGTTTATGCCTCGTACAACTCACCTACAAGAACGTAAGAGGAAAAGAGAAGAAAGTAACAAGTTTTCCCTCATTGGAACAAGTGAGGACAATACTGAAGTTGTTATTGGTCCACAACTACCAGAAATACCTAAAGTGGATATGGATGATGAGTCTTTGAATACTTCAGCTACATTAATTCGAAATAAACTGAAAGAGGTATGGGTTCCTAAAGTTCTGATAGTTCAAACATAGGTGCTTGTTATATATAAAAATAGTGACTGTCTGAGCGCTTTATTCAGCATCTACTCATTATCAGTTTATCTGCCACTTAAAGCTAGTGCTCTTACTGTTTAACTTTTCCACAGTCTAGAATATTGCAGGCAATTCTACTCCAGACCTCTTACACTACACTTGGGAAAGTGTAAATGTCAGTGCATGTTCTTACATGATTTTTCATAAACCACTTTTATTTTCTACACATGTAAAGGCATGATAAGTTTGCAGGTAGTCCTGCTGACTCCAGTGTGCTACTTGTATCTGGTTTCTGGAAGGAAAATAATGGAAGTCAGAGCTCAATGTAATTTTGCTCCAATGTTTCTTATGCCATTAAGAGCTGTACAGAATCATTAATTCCATGATTAATTCCATTAATTCCACATGCTGAGAAGCATGTGCTAAGCTATGTATCCTTTTATGGAGGATATGAATCAATTAGCAGGTCAGACATTCCTCACAGAACATTTCACTTACAGTAAGATATGAAAAAGTTCCCTTGACTAACTAGATTGATTTGAAAGTGCGTATCTTACAAATAAGCACTCTTTATATTAAATACCTTTCTAAAATACATGTCAAAATGCATGTGTGTGCTTTCCCTTCATTTCCTGAAATACCTGAGTTTATAAAGCACATCAAACCTTACTTAAAAACACCTGTTGGGAAGAAGGGAGATGACATATGCGATACTATATCACTGACTATCTGAAATCAGTTTGTGTAGTTAAATACAAAAATGGTAGTGCTGAATCTTCTAAGTTTCACCTCTCTTGTGTTTAACGCTGCCTTTGGTGTTACTTTCTTCCTCTAGTTAGCAGGAAAATTCAACACAAGTGTGATGATAGTAATAAATGGCTCCCAATACTCAAATCTTGGAGATATGGCCTTACTCTAAAATGAGCATTAAAAAAGTAATGGTTACGGGTTACTAAATTTTTTTCCCGTCCAATTTAGGTAGCAGATTCTGTTTCAACGTCTGTGGAAAAGCCAGAGAGCAGCTCAGCCAAACCAGTTGTAAAGCAGAGAAGAAGAATATAGATACTGCTGGCAGCATCTTCCAACAGTCCTTTTGTAAAGTTTAAAATATGTATTTTTTAATGTAAAAAATAAAACTTTCTTTATATTGTACTTCCCAGTGATTCCCTATTTAAAGTGGTGTTATTCCAATGACTTGGAATGAAGAAACCAGTATACTGTATTATTGTTGCTGTGTTGTCCTGTGTACCTCATATTGTAACATATTTTGTAACTCACAGAAGAACTCTATTTAGGTAGAGTTATAGAAGTAAATTTATTTATTTGACAACTTTAACAACAAAGGAATACTGAAGCTTTGGAGCAACTTGAAATATGACTGTTTTTACTATATCACGAAGAATGGTGAAGATGAAAACCCCTTTTAACAGTATTCAGCAGTGGAGTTACAACTTGGAGTTACTATTTAGGAATTTCTCGGAAAATTTTCTGTTCAAATGACATAATGCTCTGTTAAAAAAAAAAAAAAAAAGTTAATTTTCAGTTAACTAAAAGATTTCTTTTTAGTCCGAAAAGGAACTGAACTGAAATATGTATGCAGTGAAGACTCTTGCTTTTTAACTTAGAAAAAAATTTATTTACTTTTTACTTAGAAAAAGTAAATCCATAGCATTAATGGTGTCATCACTGGCAGACCAGCTGGAACATTCAAAGTTATAGCTGAAGGAGAAATTAAGATTTCAGGGGCCACTTTTGGATAGCAGAACTAGCACTGAGAGGATGAAGCCAACATTGGCCTAAGATACCCTGACATTCACAGGATTGGTGCAAGTGTCTGTAAGGAACTGGCTTGTGCAGTCTTTTTTTGAACTCAAGGTTAATGTACCTTTATGTCTGGCAAACATGGTCCAAAGGCTTCTAAGAGAAGGTTTTCATCTCTGACTGCTGTTTCAAAGTCCACAAAAGAAAGCTTGCCATCATGATCATAGTCCTGCAAAAGGAAGGGAACACTTCAGCAAAGGATTATTACTTGTAGTTTTGTTTAACAGATGTTTAAAGAACATGGATTTTATTTTTAGTTAGATTTGCAAATTGGGGGTCATCAGTTTATGCTCAGAAAAGATTAGTGTGACTTGCCTCTACCTAAGGTCAAAAGGGTGGGATTGAAAAATTGAAAAGATGGGCTTAAATAAAAGGCGTTGGGATGCAAGACCTGGTTTGAAGTGAAAATTTTTGACCACCACCATGGAAGGGGAGAGTATATATATCTTGATTAAAATATTGACAGTCTCTGGCTGCTCTTACACTCTCAATTAAGAACTGTAAGACAAGCTTCACATTAATAACCTTGAGTTTAGTATTCTAATAGAATGCATACAAATAAATTGGATAAAGACATTTCATGATAGGTTGATAAAACACAAATGTACTTAAAAATGAAGCTACTGCAGATGCGTGTACTGATGGAATAAAAGCTTACACTTTTGAGTTTTCCACTTCTGACTGGGCTTTTGCTTTGACTGGGCATGCACAGATGTATATGCATATACACACGTGCTAGTTTATACATAAAGTTACAGTGCATTCACATACTAAATTAATTATTTCATATGAGAATCCTGGACTGGGACTCATCAGATCTGGATTATATTACAATATATTAACTATATTATATTTATTATATATTAATTATATTATATTTATTATATATTTCTGGCTTTCCTCGAGAGACTTGCAGAATCCCACTGTAAATAAGATACCTTATTTTGTTACTTCATAGAAAGGTTTAAAGTATCAGTTAGTGAATGTTTGAAAGACCCTCAAGTATCACAATAAGTAAGTACTTGCCATTTTCTTCAGTGCTATCTCTACCAAGTCCTTAACTCCCTCATCAGGCTCTTCATCTGCTGGTTGTATGAGAAGGCTGTGTTTCAGCATTTGAAACATTTCCTCTTTTGAAATGTATCCATCACCATTCAGGTCATAAATGGCAAAACAGTCTTTTGAAATACAAATAAATTTATTACAAACTAGAATCACATACCATTCAAGCTGTTACCTATAGAGAGAAAATCTGAGCTGTACATTATCAATTAAGCCAAGTTTATCATATATATGCTGAAAAACTCCTGGCAAACACTTGTGACAGACAGCACTGCATCACAATGCATTAGTATCTTCTATGATGCTCACAGCAGGAATGCATATTTTACTGTTTGTGGTTGTACTGACACACTGAATTACAACCTGGGCACACATCCTAATGCTGTGACACCCCTGACCACTTCCAGATGAATTTATGTAATGCAGTAGGGATTGCTAATGCTGCAACCTAGGAACTATGGAAACAACATGCTGTCATTCTCCTTTTTCTATTGTTTGTTTTTTTTTTTTCACCCCATATGCCCTATTTTTTTCCCCTGCTGCTTAAAATTCTAGAGTTCTTGCCATTTTTTCTCTTCCGTCTTTCTCTATCATTACTGTGGAGGCTCTCATTACCATCTTACAATTTTTCCATCTGTGCTTCCAACCTGAAGAATTGCTGGAGCTAATGCAACTGCTACTGTGTCCCCACTGTGCCAGTAAATGAATGTTGGCACTGGTCTTGCTTGGCTTGAGATTGTTCATTAGCCAAAACCACGCTACAGATTCATCTGCTTCTTTCTGTGTGTGAATACAAAAACATGTACTTTGTTTAAAGTGTATGCTGTAGAATAAACTTCAGTTTAAATGCAAGATTTTGTAAGCAACAAAAAAAGGTGGTGGCTGTGGTAACAGCAGTTTACACAGAAAAAAAAACTGTCTCAGAGAAGTCATTTCAGAACTCAGTTTCATTGCATTAAACAACACAGAAGAAAAATTTTCAATTAACAAATACTTTATAAGAGTAACTACTAAATAATAACAAAAGCAATGTGTTATTTGTTATGAATTCAGTCATTACTACTAAATATTAGCATACAGATCAATCTTACATTTCATCTTCTCTTCCAGTGTCCCTCGAAGTAACACTGCTAAGCCTTCCACCCATTCCACCACATTGATGCAGCCAGTGTTGTCTTTATCAAAAGTGCTGAACACTAGGAAGTATTAGACACATTTCAAATTGATATGATAGGGAAACACAAAAAAGCAATGTCTTCTTAAATTCAGTAAAATTGTAAATTATCTTTCTTCTTAAGATGTTTGTCTGCTTTCACCAAGGTAAGATTACCATTCTTGATTCTAAGATGTAACAATGAAAGAGATTCTGCCCCTCAGAATCCTGCCTGGTGAGATTTTGTCTGATCTGTTGCCTTCCACTTAAAGAACTACAGGAAGTATGCTTCCATGCAGATGTAAAGCAAATAAACCGATATCCCTTAAAATAAGGGATAATTCTGCATACAGATTAAGATTTAAATTACTAGGTTTTCTCTTGGAAAATCTTGGACACAGTAATCCTAGAAACAATATATATTAAATCTATGAAGAAAAATAACCTCTTTTCTGTCATGTAACAAAATATTTTTCTTTTCCCTTCCCTAAGCAACTTTCTATCTCACACCTTCACTATTCATACAGGCTGTAATATAGTAATTCATAATCAAGGAGTTCAAAGCATCCACTAGCATCGGTAATAATTTGTATTTTCAAATATTAATTAGTAAGTTGGCTGAAGGAACATCTCTCCATGCAGAGCCATGCATTTTTGACTTAGAAGACAATAGGTTTTGCAAACTGAAATCAGCCCCTTTGCACGTAAGCACTAAAATAATTTTTAAGAATGTGTAAGGTAATGTGAGGTATCTTCCAAGACACACTTGACTTGCTGAACAAAATTGCATCAAGTTTTTATTTTATGGCATGTAAGTAGCTCTCCTGCTAGAGACATGGAGAAAGTTGAACCAAGGGGTGACTCTTGGCAGCCCAAGACTGAAAGAAGGGCAGACTCATGCCTGCTCTGCATACTCCTCTAGACACCTCTACATCAGAGATCATTCCTTCAACTTTCAGTGACTGCAAACATGACCCTTGTTACCAATCTGTGAAATCACTGTATCTTCAAGGGGTTATTTGGCTCATTACTCTCACCTCCTTGTACTATCTGCCCAGGCCCTTCAATGCTGTTCACAGAGCCCCTATTCCCAGAGTTACTGCCGGCTGTATCAGAATGCCTTCCTGGGACTTCCAGGCCTGAGCTAGAGCTGTCGCCCAGCAGCGACCGCAGCTCCCGGTGGAACCACCGGAGAAAAGAGGAAAGTGACACTGCCCTCTTCCGTCACGACACTACAGAGGCTGCGAGAGAAACAGCCACAGGGCAGCACCACAGCCTCTGGCTGCTGTGGTCCGAGCTAGAGCGTGAGCTCTCCAGACCTAAGGGAAAACTGTAACGCATAAAGAAAGAAAAAATGCCATTTTCTCAACAGCTCCTCTGCTGTTCTGGCCGGGACGAGACGGCACTGTTTGGTATGGACACTCTCGTCGGGTGTGCAGCGTCATCCCAACCCCTTCCACGGCGTTCAGAGCTGTGTGCCCACCTCACCTCGGTCCAACACCACGTCATCCGTCATGCCAAAGGCGTTGTATAGGGTGTCGCGGAACACGGTGCGGTCGAAGCCGGCCCCAGCAAACTGGCTGCTGGCTTTGGCCACCAGCGTGTCGAAGAGCTTGACCAGACATTCCACTTCGCTTTTGGTAACTGCCCGGTCCAAACACAAGCAAACACAGGCTGTAAGTTAAGCTGGTAAAACACGCCAGGGCCATGACACCAATACCACCCCTCCGCCCCCAACCGCTGTTCCCAAGGGAGCGCCGGTAAAGTGCCTCCCATGGGAGGCGAACGGGGCCACGCAGGATGAGCAGGGGAACAACGAGGGGCGGCCGGGCGGCAGCCGCGGGGCTCCTGCAGCCCGGGGGAGACTCACAGTGCTTGGCGGACCGGGTCAGCGAGTCCACCAGGAGCTTTCTCCCCTTCCTGCTCATGGCGGCCGGGAGCCGCTGCCGCCGCCGCTGCCCTGGCAACGCGGGGGGGCGGCCGCGGCCTGGCGGGGCCGCACGGGCGGGCCGGACATAAACACACAGAGGCAGAACAGAGATCAAGTGTTAACACGCATTCAAAAGAACTGCAGTCGTAAAAAATAAAATAACTGCCTTTTAAATTTCTAAAAATGTTCGTGAGGAAAAGAAAGCTAAAAGTTACAACATACAATAGTACTTGTTCATCTGCTGTCAGAAGGCAAAAATATATTAAACCACTCTTATTCTGACATTGATCGTTTTCTACTTTGTCCCTCTGCTGAAACTTGGAACATGGGTGTAGGTGCCACCCCAAACCACCATCACCATCTCATGACCTCGGTGTGGCACATCGGGAAAGCTGAAAGGCTGAGACCAGCCTCCACCTTTCCTTCAGGAAAAAGGGCATGCAAGAGCAGACATTGTTAATGTATTGCAAACTGAAGCATTTCTCTTTCAGTACTGAAGCAGCTTTGCTGAGAACTGACAAAGCCCATAAGCCCCTTAAGCGGCTACACCCCTTCCCAAGCATGACAGCAGCACTCCAATCCTACAGCTGAGCAGAACAGATAGTTACAGTCACACAATTAAAATTCCATACCAGCTTAGGTATTTGGAAGACTGGGTCTCATTTCCATTTTTATTTCTTTCTGTGGCAGGTGGTTGAGTAAAAGTCAAATAAGGTATCACACAGGACAGAGCATTTATGCTATGGTTCATTACAGGTTCTTTTACCAAAACTGCAACACCACAAATTAAAAAGAAAACCCCAACAAAACACAAACCCCAAATCAAACCCCTCTGTTCACTCCATATCACCTTTATTTTAACCTCACTGACAAGAGTGTCTAGAACTGGTAACATCAAGCCCAAGAGTATAAAATAGTTGATGAAAATATTACTATTGTTTAGATGCACATTGCTGCAACTCAATGGTTGTATTCTCCCAAGAACTTGAAGACAATTTCTCTTTACAAAGGCAATATGAAATTACCTTTCTCCCACAGATTTTAGTTATGGTTTGCAGACTAATAATCAGTGTCTTGAAAGTCCTGAAATTCTTGGCAACACAACATTTGAAACATCCGTATGCAATAGAGGTAAGTTCTAAGTTAGCACCTGTGCAATGGAAAAAAGGGGTAGATCAAAAATACAATCTATATTTGACTACCTGGGATGGATGGGCATTTGTTAAAGGCTAACAGAAGGTCCAGCAATCAGTATTTCAATGGAAGATGTAGTGAGAATTTAATGCAAACTAAAATCAAATGGTTGCTCATGTTTTCTTGTGGGCACATTTAATTAAAAAAAGCTTTTTTTCAGTTATCTAAAGCAACTAAACTAAAGTAAAACGGCTTTATGAGTTAGGTCAACATTCTGTAGCCCTCAAGTACAAAAATATAAATACAAACTGTTTAAACAGTATCTTTAATGAGATTCTGGCAGTAGTTTTTTTATCTAACAAGACACATCACATAACAGATCTGCCACTGAACTTGCTCAGAGTAAAATCAGCTTCAATATGAAGCTGTTTAGGTATCAAAACCTTGCTTTTTACATGCTAAATAACTTCAGCAAGTGTGCACTTAAACACAGCAATGAACTTAACTATAACTAAATACATACATGAAAATCTTCATGTGAAACGTAATTCATAGAACTGGTTACAGCAAATGATTACCTGCATTTTGTTAATTTAAAAATGGTACAAATCATGCAAAACAATTCTAAAGATAATGCAAAGAAAGCTACCAGTGTTTGCAAGAAGTTTTCAATTAAACCAAAATTACATTAAATGAAATGCGCATATTTACTAGCAAAGGTCTATCACTATTTTGAAAAAGCAGAGGTAAAATCTTCAGGTTTTGACTGTCAGTTATACTGCAAAATGTCATTGCTCTTGCTTAATGCAGAAGCACATGCTTGGAAGCTCAAAACTGCTCATTCAGAAAAGTCTGCTGACAATAGCTCTAGCTTCCCAGGAATGCAGAGATGCATGGATTAAAAGTAGCAAAGATTTGCAAGAATCAAAGGCAAAGGCACCCTATTCAGGTAGCCAAAATGGTAGCATTCCCTTTCTCATAAGCATGGAGACGGTAATGGGGCAGATGATACACATTTCTACAAAGGCAGCCTTTTAAATGTTATCATTAATTTTCCATTAGCAGACACCAGCTTGTAGTTTATGCATAATATTAACCTGCAGGATGAACTTGGGATTTAATTTGTCCTGATTTACAAATAAAGACTTTTACTAATGCTTTAAAAGACTATTTTTACTATGTAAAAGATTTAACTCTTATTTTCCAATATTTTACACCTCAGGTGGCCTACCATCTCATATTGTCTCAAACATCTAACACTGCTTACTGGAATCTTATCAAAGTTGTACCTCGTGTATTAAGCAGCAGGCAATAACAATGGTCTTTCCCAGCACAGCTGCATCTGGCTGGCTACTGAAAGATTAGGAACATTTCTAAAACACAGGAAAACTCATGCAGTTTGGTAAAGTTTGCTGTCATTTCACAGTTTAAGTTTCCTTTAGTCATTGCACTTCTGTTGATAGTCTCCGGTTGTTTTAAAATATTATTCTGAATCTGAATTCGAACCAGCAGTCTTCTTTTTCTTCTTTTTACCATGTTTCTTGTGCTTCTTTCTCTTTTTTGTTTTATCCTAAAAAGAAACAAAAACCAAAAAACACCAAAGTTATTGTATAATAAAATTGCCATCTATTGCATTCTGCTAATGCAAAATGAGAACCCAGAAAGAATATCTTTTGAAAGACATTTCAAAAGAAATTTCTATAGAGGCCTATTGAGAAATCACAAAAAGAAATACTTTATTCGGCAATTTGCACTATTATGAGCAGTCTTCAATTTAAATTTATCTCCACCATGGTACGGCTATTTTACACCTCTGATCACTGTCACTATGACATTTCCTAATCTTTTAAATTATTTTCAGAGCATTATAGATTACTGAGAAAGTAATAAGGAAGTGTTGACCAGTAGTGACAGATTTGGGAATAACTAGGATCTTTACAGATTTTAAAGTAAGCGCTTAAATTCACTGTGTAAAATTAAATAGCTCAACTGCACTTGGCTAAACTATCACGTGTACCTTGTTTAAAATAAAACAATTATGATCTCAGCTGTAAATATAAATACAATCAAATTAACCCTACAGGATTCAGTCCTAAAGGTAGTACTCTGATCAATGTAATACAGAAGCTCAGAGATACAATCTTGTCTTTTTGAAAGCAGAATTTCAACTGAAATTCTCAAATAGGTGTGGTATTGCATAAATGAAAGAATCAGTATCAGCTTTGTTTTATACATATTCCTTATATGTGCAAATCTTTTATGAAAAAGACCATAAGCAATCACTAGAAATGTTATGGCAAACGGTTCATGTGAGTCTGAAAAAACAAGCAAGTTCCATGGAGAAATGTGTACTGAGTATCACTGATAATCCCATGCCTCTATTCTAGGTGACTAATGTAGACCTTCTCTTTGCCCCAACTCATGTGGACAACTGAGATGCCTGATAAGGAACACTGCTGCTGACAGGGGAGACAGATACAAAGACATCTCAAGTGGGCATTTAGGATCCCAAACCCACTATACTCCTCACTGAGGAACCTCAGGTACATGTGGTAAATCTGGATTCCATATAAATCACTGCTGAACCTTCCTCTCACTTTCACCAACAGATACAAAGAAAAAAATATTGAGAAAAGAAGCAGGTTGCTGGCAGCTTTTTATCTGGTTGGGAGAAGAGTTATAATGGCACAGATGTTGCAGCAATTTTGTCCTAAGGCCCTTTCCATGGTGGCAGAGAAGGCTTAGCAAGGAATTACACACATTGCTAATGAAGGAACAGCCCTGATGTCTGTGTGGCAAACTGCTCCCCTACTTGATACCACACAGGTATTACTAGTTCTAGGACACTAACACATAATAAAGTATGTTCTACAGTGTTAAATTTGTATAAATCTCAAATCACATATAAGTGAAAAATTCTTCTTTAATTCAACAACTGAAAAAGTGACTTCAGCAAGTAAATAGAGAAACTTTTAATTTAGATGTAACAGTAGACTACTGCTATGAAACATTTGTATTTGTGAAAAACGTGAAACTGGAAATTAACCAAGTAGAGAGTATTTATATCCTAAAACTACAGTATGAGTAAGAGGGATACTTGCTGTTTTCTCTTTTTCCTCATTGCTTTTCTTCTTTTTCGCTTGCACCTAAAGAAAATTAAACCAAATGTAGTATCCATAAAAAGTTGATTCTCAAGAAAATTAATTCAAAATTACTTGTAGGTGATAGAAGCTAGACTAAACAATCTTTAGAAGTTTATTTTAAATGGAAAAATACAAACAACTTCGAGTGCACTGCACTCTTCAATTCACTTGTACAGTGCAGAACAGTTTCATCAATGTATTAAATCTAAGCCAATGTCTGATTGATTCGCCCATGAATCACTAAGCTACAACCACTGTAACACCTGAAACTGAAGATTCACACTGACCTCCTCTGTCTGATCCGATTCAGATACAGATTCTGATGATAAAGGTCCATCTGCTTTCTTCCTTTTCCTGTGGTGATTTTTACCTTCCTACACAAAGTAATATATTTGTGAGTAAAGTCAGATCTTTCACATTTTATAAAACTTCGCTTAAAATTTAAGACTGAAATATCACTTCTAAGTTGTGAAATATTTAAAAATATTACTGACATTAAACTAATTCCATCAAATTACCCTACCAAACTGTTAAAATCAACTTTTAGTGAAAATAATAATTTCCTGTATATTCCTTTTTCTTGTTACCAAGATACAGAAACTGTCTAAAAGTGAGAGGAATAATAACAGTCTCTTCTTTTAAATAATAACACATGGAGGAGTAAGCATTGGAAAACATAAAACATTTCACCACTTTTAAGTAGCTAGTAACTGAAGATGTCTCAATATACACATACACACACTTTAGTTTCAGACTCTTGCTTTGTTCATGAAAGAAAAATCTCCCTCTGTATTCATGTTGGAATCAGAACAAGCTGTCCCTGCCAGCTGTACTTTCAACACATCATATTTCACTCCAGTGCATTTAAAAGACAGGTTTTTTAAAATCCTGATTCTGTGTAAGATTCTCTCATTCTGATGAGATACTTTTCTGCTCCCTGCACTTCCTTTGCTGTAGACAAGGCAATGTGTTCTTAAGACTGAAGGTACTTTCTCTCACTCAGTTTCTAAGACAAGAAACTTCTGAAAAGATCTCACCACCAAGTACAGGATACAGCCCATCTGACATATGGGGGATCTGCAGGTAGGGGAAGAAAGACCTCTAGTCCCCAAGTACCCCTTGCTTTCAGAGGATGTGTGAAAGTAGGACTACAACAAGGGACCATGGTAGATACTTGGTCTTCAAAGAGAAGACATTCAAAAGGATGAGATGGGAAATGGACACTGTAAAATAGAAGCAGGAGCAAGGGGGGAAAAATCAGTACATTTGCTTTAGGCAATGGAGGGTTTGTACATCAACATCAATACTATTGACCAGAGCAGGAGAGGCCAACATGATAAGAAAGAAAGGTAACTGGAGAGAAAGACTAGGGTGGACTCTGAAAGCATTTTAAGTTTACACATCCACAGTGTATGAATAATTAAAATTTAAGGTAATTAGATTGTTTCTATTAAAGATAATGGATGAGTGTACAAAATGGTGTGGTGGTGGGCAGGAGAGAGGATTTTTGTGTTTAGAGAAATGACAGAATAAGGTGATTTTTCTTAAGCTAATATATTTTTCTCCCCAATTCTTCAAAGCTGTCAGAAGTATCTATAATTATGACTACATTTAGATAAAGAGATCCTCTGCTTATGTTTTTTAATTTACAGTAGCAAGTCAATAACCCACCAGGTGTGCCACTGAAAATATCCTCACACACATTTTTGGCTCAATGTAACAGCTAAAGGTAAGCCCCAAACACTAAGGATGCAGCTGATCTGCTGTAGCAGATTAGATACAGTTTTAATTTACCTTTGTAACAAGAACAGATCCAGTGGTTTTCACTACAATAATTACTAAACCAGGAGCTGAATCCAACTAAGCCTCTACTTCAAATTGGGTGCACTGAATACCTTTTGACTGTGTGGGCTGGGACAGAAAATTTCCACAGATGTAAAATGAGGCATTCAATATTAAAAAAAGAAATATCCATTATGTATGCAACATGCAGTTCTGATTGAAGGATTCAAAGAATAAAAATACCTTCTCTTTTTCACAGTCTTCCTTTGACCTCTTCTTTTTTGTGCTATCCTAAATAGAAAGGAAAACAAATCACAACAAAATCATTTCATGGAAAAGGAAGAAATCTCCAAGCAGTCTGACCAATAGTCTTTTTATGTCTGTTGAAGGTAATTCTTCCAGATTTTCCTTTCTACCTTGCAGTTGACTGAAGAATAATATAAAAAGCTGTAATTTTGATGCAGCTGCTAATCTCCCGATCCAGCAGCATGAGAAGGTCTGTATGGAATGAGGTAACAGCATCTTTGCAGGACACTTAAGAGAAATCTCTGGGAAGGATACCAGCTATCACTGCTGTAACCATATATAACATGTAACAGTTGGGAATCTTTTTTCATTATTCATGTGTGTCTCTGCTGATCAGACCAGGTTAAGCAGAAGTTTTCCCAGAGTTTTTTGCAGTAAGGGTATCTCTGGGTCCCTTTATGTAGCAGAAGTTTTTAACCTTCCATTAGCACAAATTCATTCAGGTGTATGCAAATAGTCATTCATTACAATTTATATCTCGCCAAATTAGGTATTGCAGTGAAAGCCTGTGATAAAGTCGACACAGAGAATCTTAAAAATTCACTGTATTATTAATACTTAAGCAAGAAGTACAGTAACTATACACTGTAAGACAGAAAAATGCTAACATAACAGAACAAGCTGCCTTGTGTATCTTCACTTTTTTGTTCATTCAGTAAGCCCACGTATTGACATTGCTATACTTCAGAAAAGGAAAAAGACAACTTCAATTTAATATGCATTTGGGAAAGGCTCAGCTGTCCAACAGGAAACTACTCAGATATTTAGAAAGGCAATGTTCTGGCCACTGCTATCCAGCAATACCTGCATTTTCAGATATGGTGTTCAATTAAATTGCATATTCCGAAGATATTTTAAGTATTAATGAAGTATAGAAACTAATTATTTGAGGAACAAAAAAGCTGCATATGTCTGGATTCAGAAAAATGACTACAAATTGCTGGAATAAAGCACATTCATTTTTTAAAGATCCAATTACTTCCACTAGGCATGCGGCCAGTGGAGGCAGATTCCACACTGCATGTGGAAGACACAAGCACAGCTCAGGCCCTGTGAGAATACATGGCTTTAAATGTGGAAGATGAAAACCATATTAATATGTTAAAGTCAGAAATCTTTATGGTTTTGTAACACCAACGAAGAAAACTTTCCAAGAGCAACACATCTGCATATTTACCTTGCTGTCTGACTCAGATTCTGAAGTTGTGCTTGCTGAAGATTTCCGTGAGGAGCGATACTTCTTCTTCCTTCTTTTCTTCCCTTGCTTTTTATCCTATCCATAAATATTGTAAAAAAAAAGAAGGAAAAACACAAACTTGAATTTATTCTCACTAGAATTAAAGATTTACATTAAATGTAAAGAAAAGGAAACATCAAATTCCTACATGTTACAATGTTCTCCTGAAGAATAAAGTACACTACAATTGATTCTTTTAGTGGAGGACCTTCATTACTCTTCTGCATTGAAAAAACATAAACTGGTGAAAAATCCAGGTTCTCTAGATTCTGTTTATTATTTAGATGTATGCTGTAGAACCTGATTATCTGTAACAAAGATTTTTGCTAGAAAGTAAAAATGGTATTTTTGCATTTTTATGATTAGATAGGGATTCTATTAGAAAAGCAATTCAGTGTTAAAATGGATCCAGTTTACAAGCCAGGATGCCAAAATCTGTAGTGTTCATACAGAAACTATTAACTAGATACATATGTCTAAAATTCATGACTTTATTATATACAGCAAATTAATAAAAACTAAATAGTTTTATCCAAACCAGCCCTTCAAAATATTCTAAAACATATTATCAAAATCTGTGTTAAATAAAGCTCATGAACAAAACATGATAAGATTCCAGTAGGTTAGCTCTTACCTCATCTTCTGAATCAGATGAACTGCTGGAAGAATCAGAGCTTGATGAAGAAGAGGAAGATGAAGACAACTTGACCAAATACAACAAAAAGTGAAGCTTGTGAGATGCAGCATTTTGTCTGGCAAATACTCAAAAACCTATTCAAACACTCCCTTTAAAATGTCTTCATTTTCAAAGCATAACCAATACAATTTTACTTCTGAGAAGCTGGTCTTACAGATTTTTCTTAAATAAACTTCTAAACCACTTCTAATGGTTTTCTTTTAATAATATTTAATGCTCTTTTCCTCCCTTTAATTTTCCTTGTACCAAATATATGCAAACCCTTTCTAAATAAAAGTTAATTTAGCATCTAAAATCAAAATTACAGCTATACTTTCTCTTTCCAGGAGAACTTAAATGACAAACAGGTACAATCCCAAAGCAAAAAAGCTCAGAAAACTGAAAATTTTGCTCACCCTATTAGATTTCTTCTTTTCCTTTTTCTTTTTCTTAAAAATAGAACAAAACAAATGTTACTTTAGCATCATTTTCTTTTGGCATGCATTTAGGTTTATTAACTTTGATGCTACCTTTTAGAATGTATTCACGAAATTCTGTGTTGGCAGCATTGATGATAAATCCAGTTCCAAACACAGAATGTATACAACTGAAAACAACTTACCTCTTTTTTTTTGGAGGAGCTCTCATTTCCACCCAGTAATTTCTCCCTGTGTTTTTCCAGTTCTTTCCTCCAATTCTGAAAACAAAACCAAACAGAAACAGTAACGGGAGGGTCATTCCTGAGCAGTATTTTTTAAGCTCTCCTCTACCTGACATTATAATTTTAACAAAATCTGGTTTTTAATAAAAAGAAAATAAACAATATATAACTTTAACTAAAGCTGTGTAATACAACTGATTTTACAGAAGATTATTATTTAGCAAAATACAGTGTTAATGTTAACATACTTAATGTTCAAGTTATTTGGCTTTAAGAGATTGCCATTTATCTTGAAGGTCATCAATTATGGCATTTTTGCTTTTGTATCACAGTCTTCTTGTTAGAGCACTTTAGAGAACCAGGGTACCCTACCAGAAAAGCTATGATTTTGTCTTAGTTCTAAAAATCACCTGAAACAAAACTTCAAGACAACTTCTCCTGGCCCTTCTTCAACGTACGGGTGTCTCTAGTGTGTATTCTGGGCCTTGTTGGTGTCAGCAACATTACTACACACATCTTCATAGAAACACTCTTATTTTGTTAGGCAAGCACACCACATGAATGAATAAAAATCTCCTCTTATTCCTCCTTTTCAGTTCTCCACTTGGTCTCTAGATTTACCTAAGATGTCCTCTTAAAGAGCTCTGAAATATCCAACCTGCCCCCATGAAACTCAAAGGCTGCTAGGTTCAGTGTCACTGTCAGACACAAAATGTGCTCCCTTCTCTATTATTCTGATCCTCACAGTGCAGCTCTATTGGTACTGTACTGGCAAAACAATGATGATCCACATGTTGTGCTGAAGGGACAGAAATATCAGGAGTCAAATAACCTGTGCAATGCAGGATGATACACAGATCCCCACATCAGCACACTGTGAATTAGCTGAACGGAGCTGCTGAGGGACATGGCAGATGAGCCAGGAAGCAGTGCTGTGTGTGATGTGCTTCCATGGACCAAGGTGGCATCTGTGGGTTGTGCACTTTGATATACGAGGTACCCTGAGCTCTCTGAGGGGTCTCACACAACAGCCTGTGCGTCATTATTTTAAAGACTGTGCTAGTGTTACATTTTAAACAGAAATGTCCAACAACTGTCAGTAAAATACAACACCTCATTCAGAGACTTGTTATCTTTTCAGGCATTCAGAGATTTGTTCTTAGGAGCTTCAGGAATAACTCATGGCCATTTCACAATTCCTGCATCCCTTCCTACCCTGCTACCATACTCAAAGTTTGGTAGCTTCTGTGCATGCCAATTTCACTTATTTCACATTAAGCAAAGGTAAAGTCAGGTAAGGAATATTATAGAATACTAAACCAAACTCACCAAGCTAAAACTCAGAGTGCAAAACAACTGATCCTCTCAGAACAGCACCCCATGGCCCTCCACATCCTAGTACAACTTCTTAGGCAAAAAGGTACAGCAAGAGTACTATGGGTACTAAGCCCTTCCAGTAACAGAGGAGGAACATAATCTACTTCAACCAGAAACTTACACACAATGATAAAGATTACTGAAGCTTATCTCAAGATACCAGGACCCAAGAAGGAACAGAAACAAAATAAATTTATTGTATACTAATTTCTCCCTTGTATACAACAGGAGTTACATGTGAAACTTTCTAATACTGTGCTGATCTTCAGTAGGTAAAGAACACAAACATCAGAACAACTGCATTTATATCAGGAAACCAGCACATGCTGTAATCAGCTTAGGATGAGAGAAAAACAAGTGCTTCATAGTCCTATCTAACTGAAAGCCATTCTTTGTGCTTTCTCCCATAATAATATTACATGTACATTCCTTGCCAGACATCTCTTTCCAGTAATGCACTTTTTTTTCACTGTACTTGGCTTCCGTGACCTTAAACAAGTGAATATTAGAACAACAGACTTTGATTTATCATACCTGAAAATGCACTGTTTAATTCATTGATATAAGCACGTGCATTTGTATAAACATATTTACATTTGTGACAAGGTCAGATTTGATTCATCAGCAATCTAAAAAATGTTTTATATAGTTTTTTCTCTGAACTAAAAGTAGCTCTTCACTGGTTAAATTGTAAACTCAACTTCCAACATAAATGAAACAAAATAGTTACTCATTAAAAGTTTAAGTGAAGTGAAATATTATGGCTAATTGATATTGTAAATGATAACAGAAGTAGCATGTTAGATAAAACGAATCATGTATTAACAGCTAATAATACTACCAACCTCATTCATCTTTTCTTCAAACTCAGCCAAAGCCCTGGATCCTTTCTTTTTCTTTTCTAGTTGCTCTTTCACTTCTTCCCTGTATGAAAAGGATGACAGATCACAATTTTACAATTAATAATACCTTCTTCAATGTCTAACTTTTCTGTAGTTTTTTTGAAGTTTAGCCTTGGTTGAACTTCCAAGAGAAGAATGAAAGCATCTTAGATGTTACACATATGGTAACCTAACCCTAATAACTTAAGTACGGTTGTTAAATCCCTCCAAAAGATCTAAAGCTAACTTTGCAATTAGGTAAATTGTTCTCTAATGTCTCATGAGGGCAGGCAAAGGGATTGAACATAAAGTAAGTTGTTGATACTATCTCAACGTGATGGTTTTGTTGGGTAGGGTAAACGGGATTCTAAGAATAGACTAGCAAAATGGTTTTTTCAGAGATTAATTTGTTTACAAATTAAATATATCTACAAGGTTTAGGTATTAAAATTTGAGCAAGAGGTAAAATGACATTTGCCTTTTCTGAGGAACTGTTGCCAAAAAAATACAGACTAATGAGAAATATACATTTGAAAATGAGGTAGGCACCAGTGACATTTTAGTAAGAGGGAACAAATCTTTTACTGAAGAGGTCAAAAAGGCAGACAGGCAGTGCCACTTACCACGTTGGTCTTGGCCTGTTCAAGTAGTCTTGTATTGTTGGTCCTGAATTTGGGGCAGGACCTCGTGCCCTGGCCATAGCTATGGGATTCATATAAGCCTTGAATATGAAGCAACAAAAAGAAATACCAAATTCATCAGTTACACTATGATAACAAAATATCTTTTTTGTTCTTCACATAAACTTTTTATCACTCCCTGAAAAATAATTCTGACTTGTTTCTAAGAATATAAAAGATTTAGCTACACTAAGTTTATTCAGTCTGGCAGAAAGACTAAGGTAAGTGCTTTCATATTTTATAGTCATACTGTGGCAGAAAGAACTGATCCACAAAAAGACCACGTTCCTTCCAACAATTACCTTTCTTGAGCAATGATTTTGTAAACAAGAATAGTATCATGTTTTCTGAAATATTCTTCCTTGGGATGTAGAAAATGTAATTAAATTTCAGCTCTCCCCCTCTGGGTCCACTGATCCTATGCCTTTAAAGTTCTGCTCAAAATTGCTGACAGGAGTCACTAAATTCTGCATGAAATTTCTTGCACCAAAACAAGCAAGCAGTGGTACTTTGCTACAATTATACATGTATCAAAATTCTGTGACTCAGGGCTATTTAAAGGAGGAAAAAACTCACAAAACCCAAACATACATAATCCCAATGTTATGAGGTATTCCATCTTTGAAACCTATGCATCCTCTTTTTGTTACAAAAGACTAAATTAAAATTTATAATTCATAATCCACCTCACCAGTTAATGGAAAAACTCTTCTATATTTTTTTTATGCCAGCAATATTTTTTCCATGTAAAAATGAGGTACATATACCCCCTTATCTCATTTATTTTATCACTATCTGATCCCAACACTTTATTTCTGCAGAACATAACACACACTGTTCTTACTATTCAGTTTGGAGATGAGGAAAAAGATCAAACATCCAAAAAAAAGAGACTTGCTTTGGTTGCCTAATCTGAGACAATTTTTAAAGAGTACATTTTGTAGATCCAAAGCAAAGATCTGGCCATCTGTGTAGCTCCCACATGTCCAACGCTGCTTTTTACCAGGCATTCAGAAACCACCATGCACCGTAAGTGAGCATTTGTTAAAGCTGTCAGAAGCAGCAGCTGCTGCCTCCTCTCCTGTTGCTACCACTGCAGAAGCAGTGACCACAGCAATGCTGGGTTTCTGGACTGCAAGCAGGCTGGTGGCCTCCAGCTCTTGGGGATACATTTTTGGTCCTGGAAGAGGCACTCCAGGCTCTGCCTGGGATGAGGCATGTGGCTGGAAGGAAGCACTGCCCACACAAGTTTAGCTCAGATTCACCAGCTGGACCACTCTGAAGCAATCCAAGCACTCTTCCAAGAAGAGCATTTTGAGACTCAAGTTGACTTTCCAACTCTAAGGGGACATTTACTGCCACTTCTTGGGGCTTTGCTTTGTTGCTTTAATTCACACAAAAAGGCTAACTAACATGGCAAATAAACAAGGAGGTGTGCCAATTGAAACAAGTAGCAGATGGAAGTATGCACTCAAGTACATATTTCATATGTGTTACAACACTTTGGCATTTATATGACAAATCTAAAAATGAATAATTGATTTCAGCTTTGAGTGGAAAAGGAGCTCCTTTAGGAATGCATGACAGCACTATCTGAACACTGTTTTCACTAAAGAAAGTGACAGTTTCAATGCATTAAATCCACTAGAAAGTTGGTTTACTCCAGTGAGCACACTGACTTTTGGTTACCATTCAAAAATTTGTATCTGAAAGCTCTTCTTATGCAATTATTTAAAAAAAAAAAAAAAAAAAAAAAAAAAAAAAAAAAAAAAGAGGTCTCTTGCTGATCTTAAATGAAAATAAGCTACTTTCCTACATGAGCTAACAAGTCATGAACACCTCACCACTTCCCAACAAAACTCTTTACCTGTTGAAGAGGCTACAGCTATCAAATGCTTATTTTCCACTTGCTCAAACTGCCCCTGAATAACTGGCTAGGAAGCATCCTCCTTTCATTGGCTTTCTTTAACTTTACCACAGCAAGTACTTAATGACTGTGTACTGCTCTATATTCCAGGATTAGGAAATTTATGTCTTAAGACATGTTCTTATAATTTCAACCAGGTTTGTTTATGAAGAATTACTTCACCAATAAACATTTCTAAAAAGTATTTACACTACTTTGCCAAACTTCATGTCACCAGCCAAAAGGAGCATGGAAATGCACCCTCAATAAAGAAAGTGATTGTTTGCAAATTCATTTTCTTCTTTTGGCAGTTGCTCAGGCAGGTATTAATCAAGGTATTTGCTGCATAGGTTCCTTGCTCATGAGAAGTGTAAGGCACCTTCTGTCAGGCAGGGTTCTCTGGGCAAGCAATAACTATTGCTGCCTTGCAAGTACCCTGTAGATGTGCCAAAAGCATGTTTATTTTCCATCTCCAGAAAGTCAAAAACGATGGTGTATTTAAGTAGGGACATGGCAGAGAATAACAGCAGAAACCTCTATGATCATACATGAGGAGCAAAGGGTCCTGTATTATAACCTGTCTGTGGTATGTATTATGCCATGAGGGCATAATAAACGTTATACAGGAACATAAAGATTTACTAGCATTGGCAGGTACATCCCAGCTGTCCCATTGAAAGAAAATTAAGAGTAAATAAATACACACCTGAAAACCTTATAGGACATTTCAACCACAGATCCAGTCTTGAAGCCTAATACACTGTCAGCTCTTAGTAGACTCAGTTTGGTTTGTTTTTGATAGGTCAACAAAGCAATAAAAGGGATTTTGCCATCTATCTATATGGTATCTGAGTCCTTCAAATCTATTACTACACTATTCCACCACGGTTTGCAAAGATGTGAATGGATGTGAGTACGAACTCATAGCATATACAAGAAAGAAACAGAGAAAGGGAAAAAAACTAAAGTATTATGATTTGTGTTTAGTCTAAAAATTCAGCAGCATACAATGTTTAAGTGGTTACGAATAGAAGGTGAAAGGCTAACTGGTACAAAAACATTTAAAGAAAAATAGGAGGAAGGATGAATGTGTTTCAGTTATGTATGAGCTCAGGCTCTGCAGTCAGGTGTGTGGAAGCATTTTTTGCCTGCTGAGCGCTGGCTCTCGAGGCAGCAGAGTGCTGCGTAAAGCTCAAATTCAGATCTCTCAGGTACAGCTGAACGCCAAGTTTAAGGAAACGCGGCTTAGCTAGGATCAGAGCTACTTCAGAGACTGCTGCAACTCCCATTGGGAACATTTTATTTTTGTACGGACCAGGCCAGCATCTTAATCACCTTCCCTCGACAGATCACAAAACAGGCGTCAGTCACGATGCAGCAGGATTTGACAAGACAATCAGAGGTTCTGCCAGGGAGCCTCGAACACGTGCCGAGGGAGGGACAACCCACCCACACGGGGCTCCGGCAGATCCCGGGGCGCCCCGGGCCGGGCGGGGCGAGGCCCGCCTTTGTCGCCCCAAGCGCGGCCGGACCCCAGTCCCGGCGCCGCATACCCAGCCGGCCCTCGGCAGCCTCCGGCCCGCCGCGGGCTGCCCCGCCGGCACCGGGCCGCTCTTGGCCCCCACGGCGGCCCCTTCTGCCCGTCCCGGCTGTCGGAGCGCGGCGGCGGCCGGACGGGCCCGGCCGGGCCGAAGCAGCGCCGGCTCTCCACGGCCTCCACGCCGGGGCCCGCCCGGAGGTACCGCGGCTGCGACGGAGCCCAGCCGGACTGCCGCGTTACTCACCACACGGTTATCCCGCTTCCCCATGGCGCCGCCGTGACCCCGCGCCGCCGCCCGCCGCCGCCTTGGCCCAGCCCAGGGCCCTTCCCCGCGCCCGGGAAGCCGCGGCCCCTCTCGGCCCCGGAGCTGCGGGAGCGGCGATGGCGGCGGCCACACAGCGCCGCCTGCCGGGGCCGCGCGCCTCGCTCCGCTCCGCTGCCAGCGCCCGCCCCGCTCCGCCCAGAGCTGCCCCGGCAGCGCGGGGACCGGGCGGGAGGAAGGGGAGGGCAGGGGAGTTTTATTGCAGGGCTTCGGGCTGAGCGGCGGGGAGACACAGAATCACAATATGGGACAGACACACAATATGGGAAGGGCCACAGTGGGTCGTCTGGCCCAACCTCCCTCATTAAGCAGGGTCGTCTTAGAGCACGACAGAGGATTGTGTCCAGGTTCTTGAATATCTTCAGTGAGGGAGACTCCATACCCTCTCTGGACAATCTGTTCCAGCGCTCGGTCACCTGCACACTAAAGAAGTTCTTGTTCATATTCAGGAGAAACTTCCTGTGCATCAGGAAGTTGCCTCTTGTCCTATTGCTTGGAACCACTGAGAAGAGCCTGGATTCACCCTCTTGGCACCCCCGTTTCAGATATTTAAACACATTAATGAGGTCCCCTCTCAGTATCTTCTTGAGGCTGAATAGGTCCAGCTGCCTTAGCCTTTTCTCCTAAGAGAGATGCTCTTTGTAGCCCTTCGCTGGACCCGCTCCAGGAGCTCCATGTCTCCCTTCTGCTGAGGAGCCGCCGGCGGGGCGAGCGCCGGGACAGCCTTGGAAGGGGGAGCAGGGGGTGGCCCTGAGGGGGAGCCCTGAAATGTAAATGTTCACTTGCATCCTGGGGCTCTCGTCTGGAATCTGCCTCCCAGGAGAGGGCAGGATTTCGTAGTGAGAGATTTGTCTCCTCTTGATCCATCTGGTGGTCAGTTACAGAGGGAACCGCGGTGTTCGCTTTTCCTTTTGCCTTCGGTAGATGCACAGAGTAAGGTATTATGAAATAGCAGCCTGTTCTGACATAGAATTGGACCCTATTTCGGCGGGAGGGGGAGATAAGAAAAAGAGAGGGAAAAAAAAGGTGTGTACTCATCCCTCGTTAGCCATCTACACTGCAAAATAAAGCATTGTAATATCGGCAGGGTTAATATTACATTAGGTTAATGGAAGTGCTAAGACAAGCCCGGGAATTACTGGGATCTATTAACTCAGAATTTCAAATATCCTTTTCTCAAAGCATTACCATTAAAAATTACTGCATATTAGTCACAGCTTTGTAAAAATGGAGAAAGGTAATCACATGTTAATACGTTAATCATAGCAAGCACAAATGAGTTTTGTTACTGAAATAGCTTTGCTGTCTTCATACTTGGGAAGAGCTGGAAAAATTGGTGAGCCCACAGGAATTTGTGATACCAAATTGCTTAGTAAAACCAAGAGCAGCCTGTAAGAACTAGAAGAAAACTAAGAAAGTGACTATATTTGCAAGTAAAATTTGTTCAGTTGCAAATTAAATTTAGTGCTTAAAATTGCAAGATAGTGCAAAAGGGAAATTTTATTCCTCAGAAAACAGCTGGTATGTTCTAAAACAAGGATGGCTACTTTGGAAATACACCAGGCAGAAGTTCTCCCTGAGCTGCCTTGCAATGCTGGAGAAATACGTTGAAAACTAAAGAAATAAATTGCATTAAAATACATACAAAATGAGATTAGGAGTATTGTTGAGTTTATTATAATATCCTTTTTGTGATGCATGGAGAAGTCCTTGCCCCAAATACATGTTCAGATTTTGACCATTCTGGAGTTACTCCCGTTTCAGGTGGCTGCCCCATGGCACTGCACACATGTAGGCTGTCCCCAGTGCTGTGGCAGCCCTGGGACGCTCAAGGGTGGCCCAAGTTTGGAGCAGACCTGTCTGTGTGTCCCCGTGCTGGCACAGCTCCGGGTCTCCGGGGACTTTGGCTCAGCTGAAGCAGCGGAGGTAATGCCTGGGCTGTGTCAAATCTGCCACGACAGAATGACTCTTCAGAAATGTTTTGACCAAAGTTGAGCTAAAAGTGTTTATTCATGCCACGCTTTGTGCTGTGAGGCTTTGAGCCTGGTGCCTGGAAACAGAAAGACTTGCCATGGCAGGAAAGCAGGGCTGCAGGGTCCCTCCCTATGCAGGCACTGGGGAGGAGGTGGTCCTCTGCTAGGCATTCCACAGTATTTTAATTAGACCCCAATTAGATTTCCTCCCTGAGCTGGGAAGGCTTAAAAGTCTAGCCAGAGAAGCCAGATTTCTAAAATGGATGAAAATACTTAGGGAAAGGACTTCTGTGTGCTAGGAGACTAAAAGATGACCTTGTTTATCAAAGGGATGGGAGGGAGGTGGAGGAGCAACACAACCGATGAGTTCAAAATGAGAACTCATACAGATAATGTAAAAATCTTACTTTCCTTTTTCAGCAAATGCCAGGGAAATGATACACAAAGACAATGCATTTTAAATTATTTTAAAATTAACATTTATTTCTTTGGTGCTATCAGATGTGACACCTAGCGACATTAGATAGTTTTGAGGCAGAGTAAAATATGTGGGTAATGGGAAAAGTAACATTTGTGCTTTTCCCCACCTTAGTATACTTTCCTTCCTTAGTATTTTGCTTACAGGATTTTTTTTTTTTTTTACTATAATTTTATGATCCATAATTGGTTCTTAGGAACTCACCTTCTCACATATGAAGGCCAGGAAGAAAATTCTCATGTGAAGAATTTGTTCCATAATTGTTAATAGACTGTTGGATTTTCTTCTGTGGTGTCTTGCTGTGAGCACTGTCAGTGATGAAGCACCAGACAGTATCCAGATCCCTATAGGAGCTTTTACGTAATGCTATGTATTTCCATTATTTTCCCCTTTTTTTTCCACAATTAGCTATGGCTAATAAACACATTTGTGACTCTGGTCTCACTGCAGTTCACTTTGTATCTGTCCCTGGCTGGACTTGTGCTCATAATCTTACAATGTGCTTAAAGACTAATTTGGAGTGTCACATAATGTAAAGGTAGCTTTTTATTTGTCTGTGTTGTGACTGCTGTTTATGTAATTGATGCTTGTAAAAGACTTTCATGGTTCCTTCAGGTTTCTAAGGGCAGCACAAAGTTCTGATTCTAAGTTGAAAATCCTTTGATTAGCTTTGCAGTAATTTCTGTCCCTGCGTCAGCTTTCATCCAGAAGCTGACATCTCACTGAATGCTTGAGCTGATAGTTTTTAGATTCCTGGATCTGGTGGCTCGTTGGAGGCCGCATAAGTAGAAGATACTTGTATCCTACTCTGAAGAGAGCTTAATGAACTTCACAATCAGCTGAAGCTGTATTTGAGGTGTTTTGATGAGGATGTTTTGGTTGAAGTAAAACCAGAAAAAATGCAGCTTGTTTTGGAGCCTAAGTCATTTTGTGTTCGACTCAAAACATACACTTTTATAATTTCTATATACCCAGAAGTGTTACTAGACATATTTATAGCTGTGTTGATTTGGCACAGACTGGTTTTTGGTAGTGGGGGAGGGCCACTGAAGTGGCTTCTGTGAGAAGCTGCTAGAAGCTTCCACTATGTCTGAGAGTCAATCTCTGATGGCTCTGAAGATGGACATGCTGCTGGCCCAATTAGAGAGGTTGGTAATGCCTCTGTGATGACATATTCAAGAAGAAAATCAAAACAGGGCTGGGTAGTTTTTTCCCAGGGGTGGTGAAGTCTGCTGCTGGGGCCATCTCAGGGTGGCCTGCAGCGAGCCCTGCCTGCCTGGTCACCCCTGTGAGCCAGCTGTGCTGCAGACAGAAGGGCACAAAGGGAGGCGTTAAATGGCGCCAGCGCTGTGGCAAGTGGCAGGGCCGCCTGTCTGGCAGTGACAACATAGTGAGGAACTCTCTGGCACGGAACCTGGGTGAGGTTGACCTCTCAGCGCTGCAGGATCCTGCAGGAATCTTTCAACTGGTGGAACTTGTTGACAGTGGTACCTACGGGCAGCAGTTCTTCTAGTCAGAGAAGACAAGGAAGTGAGGACATGTGAGGGAAAACAACATGGCAGCACCAAGGTCGGTGGGAAAAGAAGGGCAGGAGGTGCTCCAAGCACCAGAGCTGAGATTCCTCTGCAGGCCATGGTGAGGACCATGGTGACACAGGCTGTCCCCCTGCATCCCATGAGATCCATGGAGGATGCAGAAATCCACTCAGCCCATGAGAAAAGCACTCACACCGGAGTGGGTGGATGCCAGAGAAAGTTGTGATCCAGTGGGAGACTCGAATGGAGAGAGAGGGCCCCTGCTTCCAGAGATAGAGAGAGAGGGCTCTTGCTTCCAAACTAGAACAGCCTATCCTTAGAGGACTGCACCCTGTCGATGCGTGACCCATGTCACAACAGTTTCAAAAAGATTCTTTGTCTGTGAGAGGGACTCACATTGCAACAGTTTTGGGAAGACTGCTGTTTATGAGATTGAAGCCATGAGATGTTCATGGAGAACTGTCTTCCATGGTGATGGCTTAAGTTTTAGCTTTCATATTTTCCAGATTCTATACTGCCTTCGTATAACTCTGAACTTATATAATATGTTAGCAAGTTCTCTTTACAGTTTATTTGGACAAAACAATACTTTTCCAGCCTGAGAACCAAGGACACTGTTGCAGCCTCAGGCCTAAAAAGTATAAACAACAGCAAATTGAGGAGAGCAATCTAGGAGGATGGGACTTCATAACTCGAAGCTGTAATTGGACAATTAACCCCAATATGTAAATAGACCAAAACTTACAAAAGTGTGAAAACGTGTGATCCATCATCGACCAAGGGTGTAGCCTTGGCTGGGCTCTTGTACTGCCCAAGGTGTATCCTTTGAAGGCCTTTTTAATAAATACCTCCTTTACTCCTTTAACACTGTCTAGCCTCTGTTCTAGGTAGCCTCTCAAGGCATCAGCAGGAGGGACCCGATGGCATAGCAGAGGAAAGACTTCTCTCCCTGAGTGAACAGAAAAAGGTCTCTGGTGACAAACTGACAAAAACCCCCAGGCCCTGTCTCCCTACGCTGTCGGTGAGAAGGAGGGAGGGATGGGGGAGAAAAAAGATGGTTTAAAGGCTTATTTTGCTTCTC